GCTTATCAAAGAAACTTCGTAAGGCACATAGAGACTATGTGACGAATTCCAAGCACAGAAAATTTGGTCGCTAAATAAAAATCGAAGAAACGGATTAACTAACAAGATTTCAGTCTCCTTTGAAAAACTGATTAAAATGCGGTAAATACAGCTGATTATATCGAAATTAAAAAAGAAAATCCTCGCATGGAAAATTTCTAGGGCAATTAAGGTTTCCAGATAAACCTTACAGAATTTTGCTTACAAGGTGTTCAATAAAAAAACAATAATACCTGTGGCTGAAAATATCAAGTTTAATTTCAATGCTTTTTTGAACCGTCTAAAAAGATTTAGAAAAAAGTAACTTCCTGTCTAGTTTTGGTTAACATTTTTTCGGTTTGCCGGGAACATTAAATCCAATTGGAGGATGTAATTGTGCTTGGGGGCACCAAGACGGTAGCATCATTGTTGACTTCCATTAGATTATGACAATAATCGATAACTATCACTCAGATATTTAAAATGGACAACAATGAATTGGAGCATGTTGCTTTATTTATGGGTTTAAATGAAAAAAAAAACAATCAGAATTTTATCGTTTGCTAAACGACGTTTAACAAACGACTTAAGTGAACAAGTTATTTATAGTTTCACAACACAAATGATCAAAATCATATAAATCGTGAACTGTCCTGGGATTTTTACAAACCAAACATTAAAATATATGAAAATATGCTGATCCGAAGAAGATGTTTTATTTACAAATTTAGAAAAGGCTCATTTTTAGTTTACTAATGTTTATATTTTTTTTGAAACAGTTATAATTGCATATAGAAACGACAATTTAAAAACTTAAAACAGCTTTGTCTTTGGGACGAAAAAAAAATCGAAAATCGCTGGAAGCGATTTCTATCAGGAGAAGTGAAAACATAAAAGTATATTAACTAAACATTGAACATTGGCTATTCAAATTTCAAGTAGAAAGAGGTTCGAGTGATGCTCATTTAAAGCTTTTGAAAAATGTTTTTGAGGGATACTAGAAAATCTAGACATAATATTCTTCTCGGTTTGATGTAAATGAATGCAAACTTTTGGAAGATTTAATTTTCATTTCATTAAATTATTTTTTATTTATTTAAACATTCAAAAAAATTGTTTTTGTTTTCTAGCAAACCAAGAATTTTAAGCGTTTTTCAAAAGCTTTAAAATAAGGTATTCCTCAGCTCCTTATTTAAGATTTCAATTGAGAATCTTGCTGTATCCAAGAGGTTGCAGATTGGGCTTAATTAATATACATTTTTTGTTCTCACTTCATTGGATAGAAATTGTATCTTACTCGACCTTCACTCGATTCTGGATTTCGGATGTGAATTTCGTTCTGTCCTAGGGATTAGAAATAAGGGATAAGAGAAATGCAGAATTAAACATATATTTTATTTATCATATTTTATACACAATGATCAAATGAATTAAAATAAAATAGATTGCATCAATAAAATAAAAACGAAAACTTTTTCGTAGCAAAAATTTGGAAAAGAACGGTTTTCAGATAAGATACGTTAACATTAGTAAACTAAAGAGGAAACATTTCTAAATTTGTAAATAACACACCTTCAGACCCGTTATTTTTTATGAAATTTATTGCATATGTAAATTTTTATTATTGGCCATGTTTTGTTTGTAAAAATCCCAGGATGCCTCTCAATTAAGCTCATTACCTCCTGCTTTTTTGCAGGAATTTTATTTTTAATATGTAATTTTTTTCTGGTCGTTTGTCCATACGTTTGCGTTTTTTATTTTTTTCTCTAGGAATGTCTTCTACAGGAAAGGCAGTAACCTGATTCGGGTTTTGATTTTCTAACACATTTTCCTAAATATCTTCTAAAGAAGTGTCATCACTTTCGTCTATGATCTCATCATTTAGTTCTATTTCACTCAGAGGTTTCCCTTTGTTCTTTTCAAATAACGCACTGTTTTGTGAAAGTAATAATAACTTGCTCACTTTAGCGGTTTGGTAAACGTCGTCTGGCAAACGATAAAATTCTGAATGGGTTTTTTCAGTATGACCCATAAATGAAGCAAGCTGCTCCAATTCATTTTTGTCCATTTTAAAGATCTGAATAATAGTTGCCAACTGCTTTCTTAACCTAGTGGAAGTGAACAATGATGCTGCCGCCTTGTTTCCACCAAGCGCCAGTAATGAATGTTTTCTCGTGACCGTATATCCTCCAATTGGATTTAATGTTCCCGGTAAACCAAAAAGATACTGATTATTTTCAAGATAAAATTTTTTTCTCAGAGAGCGTAGAATCCATCGCGATTTTGTCAAAAAGTACAGGACCCCTCTACCCCATTTTCCTCTAATAACTATGCGTTTGAATGATTTAAATAAAAAAATTTCGGAATTTGTCAGCACTTTTCAAATTGAGAAGATGGGATTGAATCGTGGTTTTCTAAAAAGGCTAACAGGGTCATCTTTGGAGTTCCCCTACCCGACTTTTGTTAAAAATCATGACACTGCAAAATATCCCTTCCAGGAAATCTCGATAAGCTTTTTGCTTGAGATCATTTTCTGCCAAGACAAGTTTGGATTGTGAAATAAGATTTCTTAGATATTGGTCGAGTTTTTGAGACAAAGAAAAACTACCTAAAAAAATGATGAAATTTTGATTGTATATCTATCTCTATTACAAAATCACTTTGTTTTATTGGTAAACTAAACTTTCATTCAAGCCATTAAAGATTATTTCATAGTCTGTATTTGGTGAGATATTGTTTTCAAAGCCGCCATACCTCTACTTTTATTTGAATTTTATTTTTACATTTTGACTTTGATATCTTCCGCTACAGGTACTAATGTTGGTTTATTAAATTTTTTGTAAGCCAAATTCTGTCCGCCTTCGCTCAATTGCCCAGTCATTGTCAATAAGTTTTATTAATTCCTTGAAATTTTCTATATAATCTTGGCAAGGAATTTCCTTTTGAATTTCGATAGAACACGCTGTATTTACTGCATGTTTAATCAGTGTTCCCATCTGAAGTGCCAAAGAAGGCGTTTAAAACTTCGATTTTCAGCGTCATACTTTGCTGTTTCTTGTAGCTAAAACCAGCATTTTAAATATTTTAGGTTAGGTTAGAATCTCAGCTCAACTAAGTATTTTATTATTTTTGAGTGTCCTGACGCTGATGAGTAAACGAGAAAATCATCTCATGTTCTGTTTCGCTACTATCAAAAGATGTTTTTCTTTGTGACTTTATATAGGGTCTACCAATATCACAGATAAGTTGATCATTCTTAGCAACCAACGAAGTTTCATCTGCTGGTAACATGTTTATAAGACCGCTAATTTTTAAAGGAATCATTGGTCCAAAATTCCCAACCATTACGGTTTGACCTTCAATCTGTGCTTTTCAAAATTTGCGTACAATATACTCTTCAAATGGCTTTTTTTTTGTTTGTCATTACAGGTACAATATTTGATGTAAAGTCACCTTCCCTAGGACTATCCAAAAAAAAATCACTTTCTCTGCATCCACATTCCCACGAACTTTCTGATTCTTCTGGTAATTTATATTCAGAATCGGAAATTATTTGGATATTATCCGAGCTTGAAGGAGTCATATCTACAAAACAAAAATTTAACAATGTAAAAAAGTTACGTAATTTTTATTTTTCACGGATAGTTCCATACATTATAACAATAACTTTTAAAAATTTGTCTGTGATTTAAGCCAGATACCAAAAATGCAATTTTTCGAGAAAATGTCATTCATTTAATTCATTTTTTTTACAAGAGTAAATTAACCTTATTGAAATGTTAAAAAAATATTTTTTGCTACTTTGGTTTAAAATACCTCATTCAGAACTCATAATCTGAAGTAGCAATTTGCTAAGAACTTTGGAATAAGTTTGCTCTACTATTGTAAAAAATTGTCAACGGTTTGGACACTCTGTATCCAAATAATAAATGATATTTTTTCTTCAATAAAAACTTTTGATAAAGAATGTCTTTTTTTTCAAAGATGAAAGTTTTTGTCCATTTGACATCTTATTTACCACATCTGGACAAGTACCTGAACATGCCGAAAAAAATCCAATATTATTTTTATTCGGAGTTCAGTTTCAATTTTCTCAAAATTTGAAAACTTACTTAATTTCATTAAACTAGGAAAATACTTTTTAAAAGTTTGCATTTATCTCAGAAAACATGCATTTTCGACCCTTTGATTAGGTATATAAACTTTCCTTCAAATCTTTCAGTGGGATCTTACTTCTGAAATTTAGCAATAGTTTTCATACATGGATACAAATAACTGGTTAATATTAACAAAAGTAACGGAATCGCTTAATATGTTGAAAATATATTCACCTGAATTATTTGACTTTAGTATTGTTTGTGATGTGTTTCCGTAATTTCGTTATTGAATCCCAGTTATTTTAAATATCTTGAAAGCATTTTAACCTGCGAATTAAGTCTCGTGATGCTTGATACGGCGAAACTTTGTAACTAAGTTTAAAACAAATTGTATAATTTTGTCATATTTGAAGGTTAGGTTTAAGGGATACCAATGTGGCCAATAAAAATAAAACTATAACGAGCGGTCAGATGGGGAAGCCAATATAACCCACAACATAATTCCAATATACACGGTAAATTACGGAAGTCAACGTAACCGTTGCCAATATCACTCGCTATATACACATAAATTGGGGAAGCCAATGCCACCGCTAAATATTACCATGAAAAAAAAAAAGGCACAGAAATCGATGCTATAGCCACAAGCGGAATCTCGTTGAACCTCGTATAATTTTATCCAGGTAACGTGAAAATTGACGTCCGCAAGTCTGAAATGTTTTTGGATAGGTGGTGCTCAAATAAGTGTAATGCCGACATTATTTTAAAAAATCAAATTATATACATATACATATATATATATATATATATATATATATATATATATATATATATATATATATATATATATATATATATATATAATTATATTTAGTACTTTTCAAGGACAACATACAAATATCATAGAACACCAATGAATTCCTATTAGGTACTAAGAAAAAAGAAGACAAAATCCTTATTCCAACCTAAAAGTGGAAAATATTATTAAGGTTATAGCTGTAGATCTGGTACGTGTAAAAACTTAAAGTTTGGTAAAAATAGACATCAAATTGTTTTGTTATAATTTTAGCTCCAAGAAGTACCTGAAACTTTTCTAGGTGGTCCTTTAACAATGAAGGTTTCTTTGAGTAAATTAAATCCTCCGCTTGGTAAGAAATATGTTTTCTTTTCTACTCGAATTTTTTTAGTTCTGTAAATAGTATATCCAATTATTTTATTTAGTGGAAGTATTTTTTCATATAAATCCTCCCATATTGTAGGTGGTCTTTTGGTTATAAACCATATTAAAGCAACTGCCATTGAAAATATTGATATAAAGTGGGGTGAGGATACCACTGTTGGCTCGTACTGTTGCAAAACTAGCAATGATGTTGCAAGAGCAATGGTGAAGGTTGCATGTCCTGAGCTTTATGGAAATAATGCTAAGGAAAAAGCAGAAGTAGATCATTGGTTAACTTTCACCTTAGGTCATCTCTCTCATGAGAAGAATTTTTTCAATACTTTGCAGGTATTAAATGAGAGATTGGCACCTGTTACATATTTAGCACTTAAGAGGTTGACTATTGCAGATTATATTGTGTTTGCGGCATTATATGGTAAGTTTAATTTTTAACTACGGAATAAAATTACATCAAATGTTATTTTAGTCAACAAACATTGGCAGGAAATGCTTAATAAAAATTCAGTTCCGATTCATATTCTTCGATGGTATAAATTTATTAAATCTCAAGAAGTAGTTAAAGAGACTATTAACGAGCTCACTGAAGAACAAATTGCAGCTTTATTTTTGGTACAAAACCAGAAACAAAATTTGGAAAAATATGTGACAGCTAGTGGTCGTGCCAGAGAGGGAAAGTTTGAGGATTTACCAGGGGTGGAAACGGGTAATGTGATAGTAAGATTTCCTCCTGAAGCGTCAGGGTAAGATATTGTCTATACTTATGGATTATAACTGGGTTAATTAACATTCTTTGAGTTTGGTCTGATTTCCACTAGTTCTATTAAATTGTTGATGATCATATTTATTTGCTGCGACTCCCATGATGAGATACCTATATAGATTTATTATTTTGCAACCTAAATTCTTGCCACAATTACAGCTTGGTAGATTTGCAATAATAGTTTCTTTAATCCTGATGGGACTAATTTTCCAATGCTTTGTGGACTTTAATAACAGGGCTAAGTAGGTCTAGGAATTTGACAGAAACAGTCATCAATAGAAGCATTTTTACTGTATTGTTGCAAGATGTTTTGGAAAAATAGGATAGATTTAACCAGATGCACTATTATGTAAGATAGAGAAGTGTCAGTTTCTGGCAGAGTTGTTCCAAGGTTTTGCTTTGTTTGCAATGTTTATGTTTGAATAAGTAGATCAATTTGTTATTGCACAATTAAACCACTATGTTGAAAGAAAACTCTCAAAATATGTAATAATATAATAGTATTCAGGAAAGAAAATGATTACAATACAAATGACACCAAGCATAATCTTATAGCATTTGGTGGTGTCATCATTATAACATAGTCTTCATCTTTCCTCATATTTGTTATAATTAGATTATTATTTGATGAACAATATTATCTTTAAATATTTATAAAAAAATTAATTTTTTATTAGTAATAATGTCTTAAAGAATCTAAAAAAAAAAAACAAAAGTTTAATGTTTTTTAAAAAATCAGAAAATATTTTTTATTTCTTAAAAGGGGGAAACATTTTAAATTTTTGTTACAACTAACTGAATAGGTAAACAATAACCAAATACTGATTTATTTAATCAAATTAATATATTTTACTTTCATAGGGTTGTTTGAAAATGAGCACTACGTTTCTTCAAGATATATAAAGTCATTTTTATTTTTCAGCTATCTTCACATAGGTCACGCCAAAGCAGCGCTTCTCAATCAATACTATCAGGAAACATTCAAAGGGAAGCTGATAATGCGGTTCGATGATACAAATCCCGCCAAAGAGAACGCCGAATTCGAAAAAGTTATATTAGAAGACGTGGCGATGCTAGAGTTGAAGCCCGATTATTTTACCCATACATCCCAGTACTTCGATCTGATGCTCGAGTACTGTGAGAAAATGATCAAAGAGGGAAAAGCTTATGTCGACGATACAGAAGCGGAGCTTATGAGACAGCAGAGGGAACAAAAAATTGATTCTGTAAACAGAAATAATTGTAATAATTACATAACCCTCAAGGAATATCAACAATGTTTTGCTGTATTTATTTTTTAGCTGTTGCCAAAAATTTGCAAATTTGGGAGGAAATGAAGAAGGGTTCTGAAACTGGACAACGCTATTGCGTTAGAGCTAAAATCGATATGCAATCAGTGAACGGATGTATGAGAGATCCTACCATTTACAGATGCAAAAATGAAGTTCATCCACGCACTGGCGATAAATATAAGTGAGCTTGTAATTGTATATTTTGAGTGGTTGTTTGTTAATAGGACGTTATAGGGTCTATCCGACATATGACTTTGCATGTCCAATTGTTGATGCCGTAGAGGGCGTGACTCATACCCTACGTACTATGGAATATCGGGATCGCGATCCTCAGTTTTATTGGTTTATTGAAGCATTGGGACTGCGAAAACCATATATTTGGGAGTACAGTCGATTATCAATGACCAATACTGTCCTTAGTAAAAGAAAATTGACGTGGTTCGTACAAGAAGGGTTAGTAGATGGTTGGGACGATCCCAGAATGCCTACAGTTAGAGGTGTGCTTCGAAGGGGTAAGTAACAGCCTTCGAATTGTTTATTGAATGTTATTGACGCCATATAATTTAATGAATATCATTTATTTCTGCTGAAGTACCCCTAGTCCCCATCTAAAATCAGCTCTGTCAAAATTTTTGCTATTTGATTGGATTAAAAATTTATCAACCAATTTCAAACAAATGTTGAATAAAAAAAATTGGTTACTATCTATAAATTTTTTATGCAATTTATTATAATGAAGAGGAATAAATTTTCAAAAAAAAAAGTCACATAAAGCACGTAAACTTTTGATTTGACTAGAATAATTATATTTCAAAAAGTTGTCCAGCAATCCCATAAAGGCTTACAATTTTCTATGTCTACTTCATTCATCATCATCATCTAGAGACGGTTTCTAGGAGCTGATCAATATGCAAAAAAGAATCTTTCAAATTATATTCGATCCCCCTGAATCCTGTATTTGTCTATAAAAAAAATTGTGTAATAAAAGGTATGACAGTGGCGGGTTTGAAGGAGTTCATAATAGCGCAAGGATCGAGCAAATCGGTCGTATTCATGGAGTGGGACAAGATTTGGGCTTTTAACAAAAAAGTTATCGATCCCATCGCGCCGCGATTCACCGCTGTAGAATACACCGATCCAGTGCCGGTTCTGGTAAAGAATGTTGGGGAGGAATGCCTCATCGTGCCAAAACATCCGAAGAATATTGATGTCGGTCAGAAAGAGGTTTGGATCGGTCCGAGATTATTGATTGACAGGGCCGATGCCGAACTCTTGAAAGAGGGTGAAAATGCCACTTTTATCAATTGGGGCAATTTAATGATAAAAAAGGTGAGCTGCGTTTCAGAAAAATGTAATTTTTAAACAATTTACTTGTAGGTTAATCGTAATAAAAATAGGATTGTTTCGGTTGAGGCTGAACCAAATTTGGCCAACAAAGACTACAAAAAAACATTGAAGTTGACGTGGCTCGCAGAGACAGATAAAGCTAAATTTACTCCCACATACTGTGTCTATTTCGATCATTTAATCAGTAAACCGCTTATTGGCAAAGACGAAGATTTCAAGCAGTTTATCAATCCAAACACAAGGAAGGAAGTACAAGTGCTTGGTGACCCTGAGCTTAGGAAATTGAAGAAGGGTGACATCATACAACTTCAGCGAAAAGGTTTCTTCAGGGTAAAGAGAAGTAACATTAGTAATGGTTAATAAACTTAATAAAATTACAGGTCGATGTGGCCTATGAACCTATTAGCTTGTACTCTTGCCGAGAGCAGTCTGTTATTCTATTTTATGTTCCTGATGGACATAAGGAATCTCCACTTGAGTCTGTGAAGGAGAATCAGTTACCAACCAAACAAACGGTAAGGTTTCAGGACATCTGTTGTTATATTGAACATTGTACTTATCACTATTTTTTTTTTCAGACAGAAGGACTGAATGGGACACATTTGCAGGTGTTAGCTAACTCAGCAGAGGAAATGAACAGAAAAATTATCGAGCAGGGCAATATCGTTCGCGACTTGAAATCCAAGCAAGCGGCTAAAAACGACGTGGAAAACGCTTTGAAGATTTTGCTATTTTTGAAAGCGGAATACAAACACTTGACTAACGAGGATTGGAAGCCTGATTGCGTTTTACCCAAAGCTGTGGATATTAATGAAGACAACTTGACTCAAAAAATACAAAATCAAACCGATGAAGTAAGTCATTTTATTATTTTCATAAGACAGTGTAGGAGTACTTTTAACTTGTGTATATTTTAAGTTATGCTGTTATGTTACTAATGGCAGTTAAAAAAAAATTTAGATTTACATACAGTAGTCCCTTATTACCTAAAAATTTCTATTTTTACAACTTTTAAAAATGGAGTTTACGAGGGCAGTCTCGCTGAACGCTCCAGCAGTGTCGGCATCATGTGGCTACACTCTTTGATAATGATCTTCTATAGTTTACATGTCCTGATGAAGTCCTTCTCTCTAGTCTTCACTAGCGATCTAGGGGGCTGTGGATGTGGATGTATGAACTTTTATCCTCATGTTACAATCGAAAATATTAAAAATTGAAAGCATAGTTTCCACTAAATCTATGTTCTCCACTAGTACTTCTTGAACATGAACAGACATTTCTTAAAGGCCAATTTTTGTTATCTCAGTGCGCATCATTAGTTATTTAAACACTTAACTGTGACTGCGGATGGCATCTAGGTGACCATCGTCCTCTCAGAAGGGGTCGTACCAGCCGAAGAAGTATGGCAAGTGTAGCATCTGTTGCACCTGTCGCTGATTGAAGGTGTAGGTGTAGTCGCTGTAAATGTATATTTGCATCCCGGTCGTTATTTTTATTGGGTTAGTGTCGTTTTAGCACATTTACCCCCGCTAGAGGACTAGTTTATGTTAGAGACTTGTTGACAAACTCACTCTCGGTAAAAAAATGGAGTTTGTAAAAAAAAAATTGTGCCTTTTTGACAGTATGGTGGTAGTCCGTCCATCAAAAGGTTAGTGAGAAATAAATAATGTATTTAACCGAGTCCATCCGGCGACCATGCGTTTATTTCGCGGCAGCGGTAGCAACAATAAGAGAATTAAACTAACTAAAAGTCGTCGATGTCGTGCAAAGGATAATTAAATTAAATAAATAAACACGCATTGATAACAGTTTTGATTTATTGGCAAAAATTTACAAAATATTAAAATCTGTTTTGCTTAAAGAGGCGATTTTGTTTAGAAAAATTTGTTTGGAGAAATATTTATACTAAAATGCACGAATTTCCAATCCCGCGACACCAGTCAGTTTTTTCATCTCTCAAGAATACGTCATTTATTTCTCGATAACCCTCCGACGAGCGTACCACCATCCGCACCATCTCCGTAGTGCCAAAAGAGGACAATTTTTTTTTTACAAACTTTATACATTTTTTACCGGTTGGGAGTGTGTGCCAACACAAAAACTACCACTAGCGTTGATGGGCTTGCCAAAAAGGCACTAACTCAAAAACTATCCTTCTAGCGTGCCAAAAAGACACTAACGCAATAAAAATAAGGACATGTACGGGGATATTAAACCTACACCTCCAATTAGCGACAGATGCAACAGGTGCCACACTTACCTTATTTTTGCGGCTGCTACGACCCCTTCTGGGAGGGACAATGGTCACCTAGATGCCATCCGCATTCACAATGAAATGTTTAAATAACTAGTCTGATGTTCCTAATATTAATTTTAGTGGAGGTTAAAAGTAAGTAATAAGATAATTAAGACATTAAGTCTGATATAGGCAGATGGGGTCGGGGACAATTGCAGATATTAATTTGACTAATCTTTAATTTCTTAAAAACTAGAGCTGATAGGAAAAATCTATTAGCATTTTTGAAATTAGAATCTTAAAAACGTCTAAAAATTTGTTGGCATTTGGGCACAATTTTTTCGAGTTAGTTGTTATGTATTGACAGTTTTAACATGTGATGTGATAGTTGAAGCTTGGAAGAGTTATCAACTGCTTAGATTATCACAAGCTGCTGTTAAATTAAAAAAAAAGTTATATAACGTTCACATTAACGTGGACCAGTAACTGCATAGTGCGAATGCATATTGGAAATTGATGTAAAATCTTGTATCTAGGGCAAAATGCAAAAGATTTGTTTAATTTGGTTTTAATTTTGTCCCTTCTAGTGTATTAAAAAACAATTTATATCAATATAAGTTTCCATTTTAATCTTCAATTGACGGTGACTTGTGACTATTTTTTGCTGCACTTGAATTGGGTTTTTGAAATACTGGTCTCTCAGGTGTAGGAACGAGTTACTTGTATTAAGCGATGACTACCATTGAATGACGGCAAGCAAGCAAATTACTTTTAAATCTAAACACTATTTTGAGACATCCTTTTTGTTGTTTGATCCGTATGCAGGGCGATCCAGTTTAGAGAAGCAGATGGAAAATAAAAAGATGCGTAGAAAGTGATTTTTTTTTTAAATTAAAGTTTCACGTTTTAATATGTTAGAAATTTTATTTTCAAATACATCCTGTTGCTCTTTAACGGATAAGTTATTTTCCGAAACAAACTCATCCGCAGGTGTTAGCTAACTCAGCCGAGGAAGTGAATAGAAAAATTATCGAACAAGGCAATATTGTTCGCGACTTGAAATCCAAGAAAGCGGCTAAAAGCGACGTGGATAACGCTGTGCAAATTTTGCTATCTTTGAAAGCAGAATACAAACGTGTAACTAACGAGGATTGGAAGCCTGGTTGCGTTCCACCCAAAGCTGTGGACAGCAATGATAACTTGGAACTAAAAGTACAAAATCAGGCTGATAAGGTAGGTTATTATTTTCTTTTAAAGCAATTTAAAGAATGTGTAATTGTGATGTAGAACTCCCAATTTGCATTATAATTTTTTTAGAAAAATGACATGGTTTAAATGTTCAAGTTTTAAGAATTTATTTTAAGATTTCCTGGTTAGTTTGTAGGACTAACTCGGTTTTACTTTCACCCTATTTGGAGAAAGTTTACATATTTGTTTGTTATAGTAATAGAAATAATATTTTTTTATTTACTTTTGTTTTGAAAATAGGCAAAATGTCAATGTGTCTTAGATTTAAAACAAACTTAGTTAAGAAGAATGAAAAGGATAGTATAATTAAATCCCCTTCACTCATCAAAAAAATTCAGAAAGTGTGTTTTTATAATAGCAATACTTACATAATATTTAATCATTCCCTTTAGTTTTTCAAATTTATATTTAAAATAAATAATAATTATAAAATACAATATATGGGGCAACGTGCGCATATTGATCCTTAAATGTGGGATACAGAGGGTTATTGAAATGATGTTATATAATCTAATAAATGAAAAAAAACTTCTTCAAATTTAAGCAGCAAATTATTGTTGTTTCTTTTTAGATAATCACTTGTAAACGTTGTAAATTTCAAATTGAATTCCGCCTTACTTTTGTCTATCTGTTTCGCAACCGTTTTTATTATTTGAAATATGTTAATTAAATTATTCATTAATTAATAGTTTAATAACAGCTAGAAAATGTTGATTTATTTATTAATGGACTTCCTATTTTCGAGGAGACTGAAGTTGCAGCTTATTAGATAGATAGATAGTTGTTTATTTCAAAAATTGTTACCCATGTTAACAATTAATGAAATGACGTCAAAGACCCGCAGTACGTCAGCTATAACTAGAGGTACTTATTGCTAGAGCAATTGTCATACTACATTATATTCTTAATGTTACATAGGGATTATTTACATGTTTAGATAGTTGTCCAAGCTATACGGCTCAAGTTCAGTTTAAAGTTTTTTAATTTCCCTTTTAAACGCATTCCTATTATTAATGTGTTTAACATTCAGAGGTAGTTTATTAATAGTCACGAGTTTATTTGGCACGAACGGAGCGCCACGGAGCGAGTGTTTTATAAACGAGTGACTTAAAAAGTTTACCAAACGTGTTGCATACTACTAATCTTTCTACGACCGTTAGGTTTTAGGTACATTTTTGCAAAACAACCCTGCTTGTCATATTTAAGACTTTGTGCATTTCAGAATGGTTCATCATATTCCCTTTTTGTAGTTTTATAAGTATCTTGATATTTTATGTCACGATTACTCAATGTAACTAATAAATTTAGCCGTTTCTTGCCATTTATAATTTCTGTGGTAGCGCTTTTTTTTTCGGTTTGGTACAAAGTTTTTTTACAGGAAAATATTGATCAAATAGCCTTATGTATTTGTTATGTTATTTATATTATTTATGCCTAGCGAACATACATTTTCCAACTCAATTTTCTGTGCCAAATGGTCTGAGATGAATTTTTCTATTACACTGGTATGAACAAAACCTGAATTCGTTAGTATGTTGTCAATACAACTAGCAGAGGTAGGTGTTTAGTATTAACGTGTTAGTGTTAGTATTTACGTTAATGGTCGTCACAAGTTCACGAGACGTTGCCATTGCTACGAATTGAGAGCCTCTTTTATTTTCTTTAAGGAGTTCAATGTTAAAATCTCCTTACCTAAAAATGTTTTTATGTCTTCCGATGGCGGTCTGTATTCCATTATATTTTTTGTCACCCCAGTGACACTAATGGTTGCGCATTCAAATACTGCACATAGTGATAAACCACACAGTTTTATCCTGTCTTTGGCTAAAGGCGTAAAGACGTTGTCCCTCTCGGCAAAACCATAAATCTTTTGATATATCCCACATTCTGCATTGCTTATTAATGAACCGTTTAGTCTATCAAATGTTTTTGCAAGAGACTGCAAGTTTTGGTGTATTATGCTAACGATCTTGGTACTGTTTCTCTGATTATTTTCTGGGGAAACCTTGACACTATAATTTCTATAATTTCTTAGCCTTGTTTGATAAATCGGGCAATTCCTATCGCGTGCTGGGTGCTGGCTTTCCTCATCTGTAAGGTTCATCATTAAAATTTAAATAGGTAACTAAATTACAATATAGTACCCTAGACTAATTTTGAATACAGTCAATATGATTAATTTATTAGTTGCTCCTTTTTCGATTCTGCTGCAATCCTCTCATTCTTTTAGGTGAGGAAATTGAAGTCTGAAAAAGCGGACAAATCTGTCGTCACAGCCGAGGTAAACGTATTGCTACAACTGAAGGCGGATTATAAAAAAAAAATGGGAAAAGATTGGATTGCTTCTATGACATCAATTGTAACATCGAACCCTAAAGTCACACTAGCTACAGATTTGTTACAACAAATTTCCGACCACGGCAATAAAGTTCGCGAGTTGAAAACAAATAAGGCTGACAAGACAGTAATTGATGCTGAAGTTAAAACTTTACTCGAGTTGAAGGAGCAGTACAAAGCCAGAACTGGACAAGAATGGAAAGCGGACTTGCTAGCTAGTGCTATTAAGGTGGAATCAGTTGTGGAGCCACCACATACAAACCAAGATAAAAGCAGTTTAAATTCACTCATCATCTCGCAGAGCAAAAAAGTGAGGCAGCTGAAAGCGGGTGAGAACGATTTTTTCGTGTCTGTCGGCACGTTTGGAATTTGTTGATTGTTTCAGAAAAGCCTGATAAATCTCGAATTGATAGCGAAACAAAACTTCTTTTGCAGTACAAATCGGATTTTAAAAATCTTACCGGGAAAGATTGGCAACCGGACAACAAACTGGAAAGTCAAGTTACGAACGACGAGGCTCCAAAATTTGGTGACGTTACGAAAGAAATTTTAACTAACAAAATTACCCAACAAGGCAATTTAGTGCGGGATTTGAAATCTAAAAAGAGCGATAAGGTCTGTTTTAAATTAAAATTCACTTTAGGCTAGTTTTCGTTAGTTTCAATCGCTTTGTTTTTGATATTTCGTCAATGGAGTGTAGGGAATTAAAACCAAATAGGACATTGTATTATAAAGAACTATCAGTCAAGGTGACATGTATTATTTCCTAACTAGATCGGCTGCAGCAAACAATTGAAACAAAGTTTTTCTGTTCGCGAAAATCACTTTAGCTTCGCCAGTCGAAGAAAACAAAAAAAAAACAATAAATCTAAGGGTTCAGGGGTCGTATTATAAGAACTAAAACAGAAAACATAGCGACAACCAAAATATTATATACCCGAAGAAAGGAAAAAAAGTTTTATTTGCAATAGTGTGGTTATAGCTACATAACATTATTTTTACAAAAATTATATTGCAGTATTAATTATTTCAGTAATTTAATTAATAATAATCTGGAATTTATCTTATTAGTAATATTAAACAGGCCGATTTATGTTCAGATTAATGATTATTATTATTAATTTGATAGAATAGGACGGCTTTCATTTTTGTGTTGTAGTCACAAATTGATGATGCCGTGAAAATTTTATTGGATCTAAAAGCCGAATACCAAAAAGTAACTGGCGAAGAGTTTACCGCGTCTGATAGAGTTCAAAACAAGCAAAAGACAAAGGAACCCAAGTCAACTTCCACTACTAAAGAGAAGGTTACCAAGCAAAAGCCAATTCCGAAGAAGAAAAATTCCATTGAGGTGAGTTGTGTTTTGGTTTTTAAACAACATTTTACAACAACAAAAAATCAGTTTTCGTCAACTTCAATGATATCCTGCACTATTATATACCATACATGAAAAATAATGTAGACATTTTTTTCTGCTAATGTATGATGCGTCATGATTATAACAGCACAAACAACTTTATCATTTTTGGAAACAGATGTATTGTGTAGTTAGCAACAAAAAAACACTTCTCACATATTCTCTCGGTGCGCCAGATGCCATTTATGTAGATCAGATACAATATGAACAACACATACTGCTTTGGCTTGGTGAAACATTCTTTATTTGAAAAAAGCAATATGTAATAATAATAATCATTCATACATTCGAAAAGTAACGTGTGTAACTATATAGAGCCATTCTGCCATGGAGTAGCAGCCAGCTGTTTTACTGAAAGGTTAATTTATATACCAAGAATGGGTCAGTAAACTGCAGTCCTAATTTCTGTTAAAAAACTTGAAAAAAACATTGCACATCGTGGATGCAAACCTATGCGTGCACCAAGCAAGTAAATCAACAGATTAAATAACCTGGTAGAAAGATTCAGTACCGTCAGGGATTCTGTGGACGCTTCTGGTGAATGGCCTGCCCTCTATCCTCTCACTATGAGCGAAGATGATTCTAGAAGCACAGACAATGTGGTCGCTATAGTATGCGGTAAAAGCAAGAAATGGGATATCCATTATCTTCCAATCAGTCTTGCATACTATATAGAAATGGTACCATAGGGAAAGAATGATCATAACACCCGTAGGATAAAACCAATTAATTCTAACGCAATAATTTCTTTTTATTACTGAAAAATATTTTCAATATTGCTAAAAGTGTGGCTTCAAAAAGGCACAAGAGGAAAAGAAGAAAAACCTATCGACATGAAAAATTCGTAACCCTAACAGAGGCGGAGACATCTGTAATTGAAACACTTCTTCACAGAAATATTCAGCAGCTGAAAGATAAAAATAGACCGCCGTCTGAAAATTGTGAGCTTCTAAAATAAAAAATAGTTTTCCTTGAAGAGAATCTCGGAAAACTCAGGTTATGATTAAAGTTTTCGTAAAAATAATAAGTATTAACACCCACTTTGCAGTAAGTATGGGGTATCACTGGGCCTCTGCTGTTTATCTTATGCACACGTCACACTTTTCTGAACTACATAATAGCGATTGAATTTGCTTATGATTACGAAACTGCACGCCTGGTTCGCAGATGTCTAAAATTGGATTTGGGAAAACAAACTGGTACATTCTCTTGAAAAGAGGAGTCCACCTTGACGGCAGGCGCAAAAACTGCCTTTTGGATCCTCTGTCTTCTCTATAGAATCTAGCATAGCACGCCAATCGAATTAATCCGCACGACCAAACTTATATAGCTTATTACTCTGGAAAAACTCAACGGACGCGTCTAGAGTCGACCTCAAGCAGCTGTACAATCATTTTCAAAACCTTCGAATCCTAAACCTTGCCTGTATTGTTGATATATCAATCTTTGACCAATATAGCTATTAGATAATATAGGGGCCGTAAATACATTAAATTTTGCTGATTTGTTTTCACGGTGTCAAATTTTGTCAGATGAGGTGGACATGGCGCATAAAACATTCATGTTAGACCTTCCTTATGAAGTGAAACTGCCAAGCAAAGAGGAGCGGGCTCAGTATAAAACTAACCTATGGGGGCTAGAAGATCATTTTGATTTAATTAACGACTCTAAGACACAGGAAGCCGTTGGAGTGAATGAAACAAGTGTTATTTGTACCAGATGCGCGTGATACAGATAGCGAAAAATTGTATCACACCTTAGCTTCAGTGTAACAAAGTGATGCCTAGACTATTGGAATCACATACCGTGACGAGAAATACGTTGTTGTTACATTTGTCAAGGATTTTCGCGTTGCGATGTACTAATGTAAGCAGTGTCAACGTCATTATAAAATCTTGTCTTAGATGCAGAGATCGAGATCTCATTGTATACATAGCAGTAAAAGATCGTTGGATCCAAATTTGTTGTATCTGAACTTATATACTTTAACTACATCGTTTTGACTTTCTACAAATTAGGTTGAAGAAAATGCTCCTAAAAAACAAACCCGTCTCGGGCTGGAAGCCGCGAAAGAAGATTCTCTCCCCGAATGGTATTCCCAGGTCATCACAAAAGGTGAAATGATCGAGTATTACGACGTTTCTGGGTGTTACATTTTTAGACCTTGGTCTTTCACGATCTGGGAGGCTATCAAGGATTGGTTCGACGCAGAAATCAAGAAAATCGGAGTGCAAAACTGCTATTTCCCAATATTCGTATCGAAGAATGTGTTGGAAAAGGAAAAGACTCACATAGCTGACTTTGCTCCCGAAGTGAGTGGCTCCTTTTTTTATTTGCGCATAATAGAACACTTCAACACATCAAGTAACCTTTTTTTTTGTTTTTCGTCACCTAAAATTTTGACCAGCAATAGGCCTAAGCAAAAAAACATTGAACCCTTCTGAGATTTTTTTCTTGTTTCTGTAATTTACTTTCAAACTTTTTTATAAAAATGTTTTTGGAACCGAAAATTTCATATACTTCTTTAATTATGTAAAAACGAAGCTGACGTTTTAAAGTGACTATTTGCGCACGCCTGCTCAGTGCACAATTGGGTATTTTAGAGTCCCTCGAGTACGCTCACCTGGAAATTTTCGATTAAAAAAAAAAGTTAAGTTCTAGTTTCCAAGATACGAAGTGCTCAATAACTCAATAACTTTTTGGAATGCACTTATATCTGTTCTAAATTAATTAAAAAACTTCTCTTCACACATCCTCAGTAATGCAAAGTTTTTAAAATTGACATTCATTTCTTTTCTGGATAATAGGACGAATTCAATAAATTCGTAAAATTTGTCGCTTGCAAAATTATGCACCCGGTTTATATACCGGGTGACCCAGTGAGGCCATGATATTATGGAACCAGAGGAACCCTAGAAATTTGAAGGAACAATTGTGAACTAATTCGGAAAACAGAAAATACTGGAAAATATTTTCGAGATTCTGAAATGACAGTTAGGGGGTGTAATCACTACTTGTTTAGATTAGGTTAAGTTAGGTTAAGATGATGATATTGAGATGCAGTTTTCACTGGGCTCTTATTTGACTATCCAGTGAAATCAAGAAATTCGCATCGTTGTATTTATTCTTATTTCATAAAATTATTTTTTTACCATTATATCAAAAACGCCATCTGGTGGCGTGATAAGTAATCACACTCGCATCACACATAGCAATAATGACAGCCTAGGAAAAGCTCTATTTAAGACTCCTGGTGTATTAAAATGAGTTAATCCTTGTTGCAGATATGAAAATGTATTTAAGAAAATGTCCCAACATCTTCACCACTTTCTTTGCATAATTTTTGGTTTTCTCAGCTTTAAAACCGTACTCATTTTAAGTTTTAAAATTCGACATAACAATTGCGTCCCCTGGTGGCCATTTCAGAATCACAAAAATAATTCCCAGCACTTTCTCTTGGCCGATTTACTTAATAATGCTAGGCCCGACCGTTTCCCTAATACCGTATCTCGTTGCCCTTAGTGGGATGCCCGGTCTACACTTCTGTGGACCTTATAATACGATATTTTAGGTCGCTTGGGTTACGAAGTCCGGCGATTCCGATCTTGCCGAGCCAATCGCGGTGCGTCCAACTTCGGAAACCGTCATGTATCCCGCGTATGCGAAGTGGATCCAGTCATACCGCGATCTACCGATTAAATTGAACCAATGGAATAACGTGGTGGTAAGTTATGGTCAGCGCACGCCATCTAAATGGGGACGTTTCTGAAACCGCAAGCTGCAACTTGTATTGTTTTTCTGTAACAGAGGTGGGAGTTTAAGCATCCGCAACCCTTTCTGAGAACCAGGGAATTTTTGTGGCAGGAGGGGCATACAGCCCACGCATCTAAATGGGATGCCGACGAAGAGGTCAGATACATTTTGGGTTCGTGAGATTTTGCGATCGGAGTGTCGGAATATTTTGGAGTTGTTTTGTAGATTTATATGGAAACATTTACGAGGATCTGCTCGCGATTCCGGTGATAAAGGGGCGTAAGACGGAAAAAGAGAAGTTCGCAGGCGCGGACTACACACTCACGGTAGAAGCCTTCGTTTCGGCAAGCGGAAGGGGTATCCAAGGTGCAACTTCCCACCACTTGGGCCAAAATTTCTCTAAGATGTTTGAAATCATTTATGAAGACCCCGAAACCCAAGAGAAGAAATTTGTTTATCAGAATTCGTGGGGTATTACAACCAGAACTATTGGTGAGCAGAAAAAAACGCTTTCTTTTTTCAAAGAAACTTTACAGAGCTACTAATAGCAATACTATTTACAAATCTGGATTCCTCCTCAGCGCACCCAGAATTAAAACACCTAACATCTTTTCTCTAAAATAATTTCCACATTACATTCAAAACATTACTGACCACATATTAAAAGTTATAATATAAAAAATTTAATGTCAAAACCAGGTTTACCACTTGTCCAATAATCTTTCAACATCTTCGATCATCATCAACTCTCATTCGACTAAACTAAAATTTTTGCATATAATCAATTCTTCCACTAAAGAAAAATCCGGGAATCTATAGAAATCTCTAAATAACCAAACAATATTAGGTCTTTACCTTTCACCAATCCACCAACCCAGGAAGGAAGAATCCAGAAGTTTTGTAAATAGTATTAAGTGTTAATGATTTTATATTTTGGGTGGGTTTATCTCAGTCTGTGTACCAAAAGATGTATCAACAAAAAATGTAAATATATAAGTTTTCGATTAACATGCAATAGTAAATGTCACCAAAACAAAGTAAATAATTGTATTTTTGTTTTTTATTATTATATTTTTGCTAAACAACGTTGGCTTTAAAAATATTTGTTTTTGTTTATTTAAAAAAAATGTTTGGTTTCGAAATAAAAATAAATACAACAAAGTTTTTATGTCTCATACTGAGAAGTTTGAAAACTAATCGAGGAACAATAGTAACCGTCATTTACTAAAATGAACTGAAACAAAGTTTGTAAACTAACAATTTAGTATCCATCCATCCACCGATCATTGCTATTTTGTGTTTTTAGAGTTTAGTTAGTTTGCTGATTAGTTTGAAAACTAACTAATAACCAAATTAGCCGTAACACATATATTTCGGTCAAAATAAACTTGTGTGTGTACAAGAAATGCGTATTGCGTAATGCATATTATAGAGACAGAAATTACAATAATATTTGCATGTTCGGAACACAAATAGTTTTTTGCTTTGAATTTAAAGAACCTCTTATGTGTTACATATTTTTGAAAAGCTCGTGACAAACCTAAGGGCTTGTTAAAGACATACAGGGTGTTCCATTAGAAAAAAAACAGAAGTTTAGTTTCTATATCAAAATCAACCAAAAAAACATAAAAAATGAGACACTGTTCTTTTTCTTCAGAAAATATTATTTTAAATATAAATGGTCAATCCAATTTTAAATCGACGGTCCACCAGTAAATGCACTGGCGGGTAAAAAATTTTGGTCTTTCAACAAATTACAAATTTCCTCGAAAAAAACTAGTAGTTGGTAGATTAACTATCCTACTCTATTTGGTTATCTGAATTTAACATTTAATCGGAAAATCTAATGTTGGTTTTCCGGGTTTTGTCGAAAAACAGAAAATGCCTATTATAAACAAAGCCCAATTAATTAATTTTTTTATTTAATTTAATTTTTATTTGTAACTGAAGAAAGGAGTAATGGGGGCTATTCACATGCAGGCAAGTCCGCGCGAAAGTGTGTCCAGGTAAGTCCGCGAGCAAGTGCGAAACGAATTGCGGCTACACACTATTCAGGTAAACCTCAGAGTTCACCAGTTGGTGGGGCCTGCTGCTGTGCGAAAAATGAAGTTGGCCTTCGCACATGCTCTAAAAATCAGACACAATCTGATTCGCTTCGAGCCGCGCTTGAAACTAAACGCGCCTTGAGTTTTGACCCATACACATTCGCACTTATTCGCGTGTCTCGACCTGTACAGGCAAGTGTTAAGACGTGTATAGGCCGCTTAAGACCGGCTGCTTTTCAACTGAATACGGATTATGTTCTGGTTTATATTGTTTCATTCCTGCATAAGCAACTCTCTTAGCTCTTGGGCACGTCGTGGAGCTGGTGTATGTCTTCGAATACGTCGTTCCATCTTATCCCGTACATGTTCGGTGGGATTCAGGTCTAGGCTAATCAAGCCTCGTAATTTCCACCTCATCCAGATATTGAGTGACAATTCTGGTGATGTGGGTTAGCATTATCGTGCATAAAAATGCCATCTTCGCCGATAGTGGTAATAAAAGGCATAGCATGATCTTCCAGAATTTCCGTAATGTACCTGTGAACTGCCAGAGAGCCATTCAGTATAAAGACCAGTTCTGTGCTTGCTTCTGAATTGACTCCCTATCAGTACAACCTTGGGCATATCTTTCTTCGGGTCTCCTCCACACTCTCCGACGTCCATCTAACCCAGTCCATTCGCTAACATTGACATTTCTAACATCTTGAAGTTGATTTCGAAGCCAAACAGCAGAAGGTGATCTATTTCGCAAACTTGCGAACAACAAAAATCGATCATCCCTTTGGTTGATGATCCTTCTTCCACCGGATCCCAGTCTTCTAGTGATCAAGCCAGTCTCCTTGCAGCTTTGTTATACCTTTTGTACAGCACATAGACTCCTACCAACAATTCTTGCAGTTACTTTTTACAAAACTAGTCCAATTTTGTAGTTGTCTTTTGAACCTTCCACAGACTACTGTAATACTTTTTACAAAACTTCTGGATTCCTCTTGCATCGAACTTGCTGACGTTTTGCTAGTCGTCCTGTTGGTCAGAGCTTAACTCACAGAAAAACAGTTTCAGTCAAGCTCTGAAGAAGGCATCACGATGATTGGCGAAACGTCAGCAAGTTCGACTCAGCAAAAACCGACGCAGGAGGAAACCAGAAGTTTTGTAAAAAGTATTACAGTAGCCTGTGGAAGTTTCTTTGGAAAATTAAAATTCTTGCAGTTGCTCATTTTCATCGACCATCTTGTATTAATACTACAATTCTAACCACAACAATAGGATCTAAAGGCTTTATGACCAGTTAAATACACCTCCGATCTAAAATACACCAAACAATCATAAGTTTTATGGAGATAAATGAACAATAAAATAGAAAGTACCTAACGCACAAGTTTTTAATTAGGCTGAACTTCCGTTATTTCATAAAAAAGTCGAAACTACACTGACAATAACTGACAACTAACAAATGTCTCCATCCGCATTTGTCGGAAAGCAAATAGTGTAGTAAACAGGATAGTTGAATATTTTTGGCCTCATTCGGTTTTTATTCTCTACAGGTGTTATGATAATGATCCATGCAGACAACCAAGGTCTAGTGTTACCCCCGCGAGTGGCAAGTATACAGGCGGTCATTGTTCCATGCGGAATCAGTACGAGCCTGTCGGATGACAATAAAAAGAAATTACAATCGTGTTGCGATAATCTCGAGAAAGCTTTGAAAGAAGCCAATTTAAGAGTGAAAGGGGATTACCGTCAAAATTACTCTCCCGGCTGGAAATTTAACCATTGGGAACTAAAAGGTGTACCGATTAGAATAGAGTTGGGTCCAAAAGACGTAGAGAAGCAGCAATTTGTGGCCGTAAGGAGAGATACCGGAGAGAAAATAGTGTTGCCCTTAGCGACAGCTGCCGAAAAAGTTGCCGAATTGTTGCAGAATATACACGACAGTTTATTTAAGAAGTAGTGAATTGTTGGGTAAAGTAGAACATGTTTGTTGAACTGAAACTTTTGCAGAGCTTCAGAGGACTTTAAGAGCCATACCGTGCTGTTGAAAGAGTGGGTCGATTTTCCGTCAAATTTGGATAAGAGAAACGTCATTCTTGCTCCTTTCTGTGGTCTTTCCGAATGCGAGGACAAAATTAAAGCTGACAGTGCGAGGTACGTTTAGAGGCTCTATTAATGTATTAATGTTTATTATCTTCAATGTACAGGATCTTCCAGTATATTTTTACATCCTACAGAGTCACATATAATAGGTACAAAAAAGTGCAAATACGAAAGTTTCATGACTTTGTAATAAACTTTAAGCATTTTCACAACAAAATTCAACTGACGCGTTCGTGACATTAAATTACTATTTACAATTATAGCACATATTATCAAAAGTTAACAATTATCAACAATAATCTTTTGGGCGAACTATGTGTTTGCCAATAACATTGTTTAAACAATTAAAGGTTGTTTCGTTAATTTAAAAGTTATACTATAGGGATTTTATTTATTTTCTGCTTTATCCCAAATAAGCTAAATCAAAACTGCGGGGCCTAGTCCAGTCAGGTAACTCTTTTTTATTATATTATATGATTTAACTCTGTCAGGAGGCAGAGTATTGAAGACTATTGGTCCAGTACAGTATATATATTTCTGACGCGCTGCAAGTTGGGGTTCTGTAGAGCCACTTCGTGCTCTAAAGCAGACCTTATGTTTATACCATGATTTATTTTGGTTTGGTATTAGTTGGTTTTTAACTTAAATCTTATCACTGATTTAAAATGCAGTTGTTTAAAAGTAAGCAGATGACTCTCCCCAAAAAGTAAATTAGTCGGGTATCGCTTTTTTTAAAATACATTGTTTTTTCTACCCTCGCCTGTAAAATACCAAATTACCAAAACTAGCGTGCTGGAAGCGTCACTTTATCACGTCAGTTTCGTTTCCCACGGATCCGAATCACTTCGGACATTAGCGGGATTTTACCGCACGGATTTGGGAGCAATCGGATGTTTTTGGAGATATTTCCTACGCCTGTCAATTCTGACCGTCATGTGTCATGTATTCGTGTTGTTTTGCGAAAATGTACCCAAAAACTAATGGTCGTAGAAAAAGTATAGTATGCAACACGTTCGGAAAACTTTTTAACTCACTGGTTTATTAAAAACCCGCTCCGCTCGTGTCAAACTCGTGAGTCAAATGCCGTGTACCGCACTTTTTGCATAATATACTATTATAATCCATTCTTGAGCCACCTGCAACTCCAGCACATGCGTCCCATAGGCATTACCCCACTTAACTAATCCATAGCTTATTATTGACTCTATTACTGAAAAATCTTTAGTCCCTCCAAAGATAACATTTTACGTAATTCATACAACTTATATATTAGTTTTTTGATTTTGTTAATTACATGATTAGTATGACTGTTTCAAGTAAACCGTCAATCAATCGGTATCCCCTGATAGTTTGTGAAAGTTGTTACATTTACAGTCTGTCTTGTTCACATGAAGTCTTAGTTTCTGAATATTGATAGGTAGAGATTTTCTCGATAAAGTGAAGGTGTTTATATTTAAGCACAATAAACTATGGTCTAGCCATTGCTTTGATCTTCTCAAGGTTAATTCCGCAATTGTAACGGTATAGTCCCAAGATTTTTCCTACACAATCACTGCTATATATATATATATATATATATATATATATATATATATATATTTTTAGATATATTGAAAGCTTATACTTTATACACTTTTCAATTATTTTACTAATAATGCTTATTAGTGCAATCGGGAAGACCCAAAGAGTATAAGATGGAGAACGCTCCCATTAGTGGCAAGTTAAAAAGCGTACACGAGTTTCAACTCCTCTAGTGAGTGTGTCCAGTCATGAAAACGGAAAACGCGGACAATTTAAAGTTTGAAAGGTAAAATGTGAAAAAAAAAATATGTCGACATAGTTTCAAACATTTTTTCATTAAAATATAAATTACAAGCTACTGTAGTATTTTCAGTGTGACGCATTACTTTAAACCGCCATAACAGTACTTGGACACAAATAATAGTAACAGTATACGGGACCTTGCCCCCTATCTTGTACCCTTTGGGAAGACCCCACTACTGGAAACCAAATTTACAATATGCTTCAAAGGGTTTAAGAGATGTACAATATTTATTTTTATTATTTCAGAGCTTATGGTATCTACTCTCATGAAGTATAGGACCCACCTTACATTACATATTCTTCCGGCTAACTTTTTACCAACATCACAGAAGTAGGAGTTAAATTCATTTTCAATTAGTTTTTTGTCATTTATTTCAACATTGTTATCATCTATTAATTTGATCAGTTGTTGCTTCTTTAATTATTTTCTTCCATATCTTCCCAGAATCTCTTGAGTTATACAGTAGTAGTGTTTTACACTGCAAATATTTAGCTTTTTTTAATTAACTTTGATAATTAGTCTCAATATTTTTGATAATCACTTAAAAAAATTAAATTATTTTTATTTAAAACGCATTGCTTTTTTAATTTATTCCTGTTAGGAATAGAAATCAGGAGACCACTAGTTATCCAAGGTTTTAATCTAGCATTTGTACTGATCACTTTTCTAGTTACCGTCGCTGTCTTTGCAATAAAGGTATTCTATGATTCTTCTGAAATGTATTCAGAGAGCAGGTTATGCTTAAGATATGTAAAGGTGTTCTTTTTATGTTTGAGTTAAGTTTAATGTTAAGCAATATAGTCTCTCAACAGGATGACAGGATTAATATAATTAAATAGCGGAAAATAGTGATCGATACAGGTTGCTGTTCCGTTTTTTTCTTGTTACCTTGTTTATCATGCTGGCAAAACCATAACTCTGCGTAATTGTTAAGTAGTCATTTGTAATTGGAAATATAAAGGGTAAGTTATTTAAATGTTTAGGTACAGAGATCTCAGAAACTAGATCAGATACGAAAAAATGATAATGAAGTCTTAAAATAATAGCCATTCATGACAAATTCAATCGCAAGGTATAAGCTAATAATGACATTTTCTCGTTAATTTCTCAAATAGAATAAAATACTTATCACATAAAAAAAATAGAAATAAATACTGCATAAGATTTAAATATGGTATTACATTTTCACGATGCTTTTCTTAAGAAAAAAGTTTGCCGGGTGCCTCCTATCTGGAACTGTTTGATCATATAAAACGTTTGTCCTTCAGAAGAATATATAATGTAAAATAATATATAGGGCATTCCAAATTTTGACATTATCCAATTTTTTTGACACGCAAAACCAAAAATTCTTAAAATTCGATATATTTCTTTTTTTGCACTTTTCTTTGTTTTTATTATAGACGACCCAGTAGATAGGATTTAAAAAAGTACGGGAAAAGTAATAGCTTTTTAAGATATCGGGCCTTCCTGAAATGGTTGCAAATGTTGCAAGTACTCTTTCTATCTGATTACCTATATGCGGGGTTTCCCTCGTGAAACTTGGTATATGACAATAATTGGCTCTGAAGTACAATTTAAAAACCTTTGCTTTTGCAACGTTGCCGGTTCCACCCGAAGTCAAAATCAAAAGTAGTGTCATTGTCATTGTTAGTGATATTTTGACGTCAAAATATCACACTTTATCGAAAGCGGGGTTTAAAAAAAATCATTTAAAAAAAATTGCGAACAAGATGGCAGATAAGTGTAGGAACAATCAGTGCAAGTTGCTTAAATTGTTATGTCGAAGAAATGCAATAAAAAAACTATTTGTTGCATTTGAAATTTCAATGTTGCCAGTGATTTCGGGTAGAACCGTCAACATTGCAAAGTCTAGAATATTTTTATTTATACGTCAGTGCCAATTCTAGGCATACCAAATTTCACATCAATATCTACTTTGCCTCTCCTAAAACTCTCTCTAAAATATCTGGTTTAACAAAAAAGTGCTAAAGATAACCCGCAAAAGTATTAAAGGTTCTCGCGTATGGTATCGTTTCAGAATTGCAGGAGTTCTTCGCGTTCTCTCCATTTTTAAAAACCAATGTAACTTTTTACTATCTGTTTCTATGAAAACATTTTCTAAGCACCATTTTACTTAGCAACCGAGAAGAAAATGATTTTTTGTATATGGAACGCCAGGTATATTTTTGAATCATTTTAAAAGAACCTAAAATTACCTTTCCCAAAACATAACAACACACTTGATTGTTTTGCTCGACTTTTTTTTAATAAAAGTGTTTAATTTTGAAAAAGTAAGTTTTCGATGATGCGAGCGTAATACAGGTAACAACTGCGTACTGTTAATTGACGTTTTCTTCTCAAACAGCCAAAATTTTAACTACTGGTCTCAACGACACCCTACTGGAAATATAGTAACTGTGTATTTAGAATAACACTTGTGTGGTATATTTTTGGGAAGGTAATTTTTAGTTCTCTTCAATTTTTCAAAACCATATATGGTGTTTCATATACAAATCAAATTTTCTGTTAATTAAAAAGTTTCTCTAACTCTGAAACGAAAACAGTTAAATTTTTTATTGAAATAGAACATCACATTGCAATTTTGTTCTATCTCTTGTAGAAAGGGGAGTTTCCCTTTGAATTTATCTCAGCTTGTACATGAACTACGGCAATTCCCAACATTTTACACTAAATAAATGGAATTAAGCCTTTGTTTTTTCTTTTAGAACAATATTACAAGATTAAGTAAAACACTCATTGTATTTTGATTATTAATGAGTTAATGGGTTTTGGACTTCCTTTATGAAAAATGTGAAATATGTTATCGACGCTTTCGGAAATTTTGTTGACTTTGTCAGAACTCTAAAAGAGTACGCATACACTTAAAATGCTGTTCTTAAATGATCAAATGTACAACAGCGCAATTATATAAGTAAAAAAAATAACAAAAAAAAAAGAAAAATATAAATGTATATGAAACATATAGATTCAAATTGGTTTGCTATCGTGCGAAACGTCGACCACATTTAATTTGAATTTGATTTTTCATAAACCGCTCCCAAAACCCATTAATTTCTTAATAATGGATATTCTATTTTTCATCAAAAGTCAAACTATTGCTTCATCCTAAAAGTCTAAATTAAATCTAAAATATTTTTTGTTGTTCTGGTCCCTCATCTAAGAGTATTTTAACATAATTTTTATCTGGGGATCTACGAAAGTTTGATTTTGTAGCATCTTATTGTTAAAATGCATTGTTGAAGCGCAGTTCCTTCTTACAGGGATAAAGAAGCTGAACCTGGGGCCCCGTCGATGGGAGCGAAGTCTTTGTGTATTCCTCTAGAGCAACCAGAATTGATCAAGCCAAATGACAAATGTATACATCCAGAGTGTGATAGAAAACCGAAATATTACACCCTGTTTGGTAGGAGTTACTAAACAATTTGCCATTTTATTTCCCTAAGTCATTAAAATGTTCAATTGAGTGAAGTACAGTTTTTATTCTACCCGCCCTTCCTTTTGCACAAATTAATTCGTCAAAGACAACAAACACTTAACCTTAAATTTTATTAAATAGTATTTCAACAACACCATAGCAGGGAAACTATCTATCATCTCCAAAGTTAATAACTTTACGGATCCGTTCCAGTTTGCTTTCAGGTTTTGCGAGTTGCTCCATCTTTCTTTTTTCCCAGCTCTCTATAGTGTTGGCTCTATCTTGCAACACTCGTTGTTCCTTGGTTGTGAAGTTAGTCTGTAAAATAAATAATAGGTCGCTTGAAGTTCCCTTGCAAGTATTGAAATGAGATGCTTAACTTTTTGGATTTTTGTTTCATTTTGAAATTTTAATGAATAATTTATATGAAAATGCAAAAAAAATGTTCAAAGTATCTGTTGAGTTTATCAGTTATAATAGTAATCAATATTTAAAAATAATGTATAAAATGATGTATAAGTTTATTTATGGATTTAATTGAGAAAGAAGTGAATAAAACAATATAACATAATCATATTCATATATGATTTCCTACGGATATTCTTACATTAACAAAAAAAATTTAGTCTAGCACAATTATTCCATCAATAGATCGATATTTGTCAATACAATGCTTTAAGGTATCAAGGGCTGGTTCGTGAAATTTACCCCATGTCAATGTAGAAATGGTGTACGAGTTTTTGGCAAATAACGCAAATTTAAAAGAACCTCAGAGCAGTAGCGTCAAACGTAAGCAATGACGTTAGTTAAGTAGATAATATGTACATATAAAGCTGTTCTACATTTTTTTTGTTTAGCACTAATGGATAAAACTTAATTCTGCTTTATTTTAGTTCATTAGAAGTTTATGGTATTAAAACATGGTACATACGCCGGTGGTAACAATTATGAAAGCTATTATCTGTTTTTTTCTGCATTGAATATTTTTGTTTTGCACGCAGTAACAGCAAAGAAAAATAACGCTCGAGCATACTCGAAAGTGCGTTTTGTATGCTTGTACAATCTACAAAATATATTTTTTTGCCGAATCAAGTTCCCTCTTGCATTGGTTAAGCGATGAGGCAATGAAACTTAAGAATGTCTCTCTTATTCCGAAAATGTCAAAAATAAGCGAATTTCGCCTTCATGCGAAGGTAGCTTTACTTTCAATGTTTTAAAGAAAATGAATATACAGGGTATTATTTCAAATGTAAGCTAACAGAAATGTACAAAGATATCATACTTACCGTTACGAGTATTTCATATTAGGACCTAGTTACTTTTCATCACAATTAATTGTGATTTGTTCGAGGATTACCAATTAAAATTATTAGGCAAGTACACAATAACAAGTTTGATTTTTGGCCCTTTGTTTAGTATAACTTGCTGATACTTCTAAAAATCGAAATTGTGAACTATATGATGTTTTCAATGAGAGAAGTTCTAGGAGAACAATCAGTGACGTAAATTTATATCTCGTAATCTATTTTTTTTTGGAGTCCACAGAAACCGGCACTAGCTCCAAATATACCGCAATATTTTTCTGCCTTGCCCGTTTTACGCTCAACCGAGCTCCGTCAAACCAGTTTTGTATAGGTGGTTGTAGAACACTCATAGATTTTTTTTGTGTTGTACTGGACGTATTTGTATAGTTTGGAACAAAACACCACTTTCTGTTTGGCATTTTTAATTTCGATAAAGTTGACAGGATAAATCCTTACCCGCTTAAGCAATATACTCTAAACCCAATACCGATAACTGCAACATTAAAATCTGTATTGTAAAGCCAGCCGGTCAGCCAGTCGTCTGTTGTCTGGCTACTGACGTCACACGGCCTAGCCTCGCGCTGACCCTTGATTTTTAAATGTTTACGGTGGACGTAAATATGAATATTTTGTCCTCAATTTTTTTAAATTGTTTTTTAGGCACAAAATCGATCGCTTTCTGTGAAAATAAAAAAAAGTCTAACCTACCTACCTATTAGTAGGTATTTGCCCAAATAATCTCAAAGCAACTTCAGTGTTGTTGGTTGAATAAACAAGGGAAAAAGTTTTCACAAATCCGCATTTTAAAACAATTTAAGCATGTAGTCTCACAACTGGGACAGGATGCTTGAGATGTGTGACGCAAAAGTCTACGATAACTGACACCCCAGTTCTGCATATTTGCATTGATAGTGCTAAACATAAACGTTCATATGGAAAATTGGAGCTAATTTGCATCTGGTTGATATACTTATCAAACACCAAATTTTTATACCTTACAAGGAGGCCTGACATAAAATGCATGCTGTTGACAGACATTTAAAAATGGGAACAATATCGCTACTAAATATATATTTTTGAAATTTTCACACTATGGTGAATCACTTTGAAAAGAATTTCTCCGCTACTTTTTTTTTAACTGGCGATTTTTTAAAATGTAATTACATACATCTTTTTTCTTCGTCAGTATAAATAAGTGCAAATCAGAACAAATAAGAATTTAGCGTTTATGCAGAACTGAGGAACACGATTTTAACCAACCTGGTTTCTCAAATTGTTAAACTCCTCCAATCCAATATACCCTTGTGGTTTCTGCAACCGGGCCCTATTTTTCAAGTGCTCTGCCACAATTTCGTCCAAAGATTTCCCCTTCACAACGGCGAACACATGATGCTTTGCTATTCTCAACATTTTTTCGCTCGTACCCGCAATATTGCTGGCTCCATTGGCATAGGTGCTGAAAAACCGTCGAGTCACCCGGGCCAGTATCGAGGCAAATATTTTAAACTGCGCGTGACCTGGAACGATGTTCTGCGTCCGAAGTGCCTCGTACACGGCCCACTGTAACTTCTGAAAAAAAGTAAATATGTCATATTAATATATCATATGAAGTTTTATAACAATTTTTAACCATTATTTCACCAATTGCTCATACTGCTGCGAACATTCGAGAACAAATTACATATCACGACGTACGCAGTGTTGTCAATGTCTTTTATAGTCAACTGTACTCAATTTTTGACCAATGTATAACCGTTTTCACTAATCATTGAAAGTTCAGCTATCCCTTTTATTATTAACGATATACGCGATTAAATAGAAGGGAAATAGATTGCTTCACATGTTTCTCTTGTGGAATTAGAAAGTCCATTAAGCATAAAATTGGCACAGCTTCTAATTATGTACATTCGGTGCAGGATTCGATAAAGAGGTGTACCCAGGATTGTTTGAGAGTTTGTACAGGATGAGAAGGGAAAGCCTAGAATTCCTATTGTCTTAAGGAGTCGCCTCAATACAGTGTTGACGGATTTGATAAGTTCTAGGAGCATAATCATTCATCATAGCATAGAAGAAAACACTATCCTACAAATGTTTAAAAAAATTATAATCTAAAACGAATTCACAGCCTGACAATATTCCCTCATTTATCATCACGGAAAACTCTGGAAAACTGCCAAGCTTTGTCCTGTACCTAATTATATAGGCCCATCTCTATGTTACCTTTTTTTGGTACAAAACAGTTACCGATTTCGCCTGCTATTTTTAGGATATCCGAAATTACCTAAATAACAAAGTACAGGTCAATACTACCGGCAAAGGTCTTTGACCAAATGATAAGCTGATTTGATTTATCAAGTCATACTTATCAGAGCGTTCATTAATTGTCAGGCATAATGTCCTCAAGAACTTTAAAATTACCGTTACCAGTGGTGTCTCTCATGGTAAGCTCTAATAAGTACACCAGCTGATTGAAAAGTTCTATAGAATGACATAAGTATGCTTTTATGGTGAGTGAAGAATGGTCTTCTGCTTAGTATTCAAAAATATCATAAGATTAGATTTTATAGAAAACTAAATTCAAATTCTTATGTCCGCTGTTTTGATAGTGGACAGATGGACAGCGAGATGCTTGGTTTGTATGTACATAGAGTTATAAACTTTAAAATGCACATCAAGAGCATAGAGTCAGCAGCCAGAAACTTTGGTGTCATTTTCTGCACTAGCCAAGAGTTGAACATGTTCAGTGTCTATTATAGGATTGCCTAGTCAAGTCTAAATTTGGGTCTGGGCTTTTTCATATTATATATTCATATTTCATTCATTTTTCATATTATATATTCATTCTGCAATTAGACCAGACAATTAATATACAAACAAACAAAATGTGAAGTTTTTTCATTTTTATTTTGACATCCACCCACAGAGTTCTTAAGAATGGAATTCACAGTTAATCCGTAGACCAAGAAAGACACTATAATGTTACATGATAATTTGACAAATTTTTCTTCAAAAATATGTTTTTTTTTTCTAATTGTGAAAACGGCTTTCGGTCGGGACTATCTACGGAAAATGCATTGTCTATGGTTCTCCAAGATACAGTTAGTTCTCTGAATAATCATCAAATAGTAATGGGATTATTCTTCGATTTGACACGTGCGCCACACTTTGCTTTAATGTTAGCTGTCGACGATGGGGTTTAAGGAACCCCATTGCACCCTTCAGTGTTCTTGCCTTTCACCAACTGTTAAGTATTTTGATGTCTAAATTTGGAAACTCTGGTCTGCACGCTCTCTTTTGCTTCTGGGTAATAATACTATAAAATTCATGATTAATTGGAGTCTCTTCAATATTAAATTACATTGTTTTAATTAAAGCTGAACATAAGATAATTCTGAATACTTCTGGAACCAAGTTTCTTGGTGTCTTTTTGAATCAATAACTAACGGGGCACGTCCATGTTGAAAGTGTTTTAATTAAGAATATTCGTGACACTGTATCAGAAAATATACTCTTAAGTTACTGTATTTTGGATTTTATACTGGGGCAATTCAAGCAAGTCCTGTTCTGTTTTTGTTGCTCAAAAAAAAAAGATTAGATGTATAACTAAAATACCTAGCAATGATAGTATTCAAAAAATATGTTAAAACTAAAAATAATACCCTCAGTTATGGTTTTAAAACGAAGGCTCTCGTTTTTTAAAAACACTTTTTATTGTTTTACAAACAGAGCGACGAGCTTTAGATTAAGCCGTTACAAGGAGAATTCTCTACAAAATACATTGTTCACATATATAACGTTTTTATGCGAAAGTCGGGTCGCAGATACTGGGAATACTGAAGCTCTATAATTTCCTGTTAGTCGTCAGCATATTCTGACACATAATTCCTCATACTGTATACTTTTCACAAAACTACTGGATTCCTCCTGCGTCGGTTTTGGCTGATTCGAACTTGTTAAGTTTAGCCAATCATCCTGTTGACTTTTTCAGAGCTTATATTGTATGTTTATATATTTTACCATTATCAATATAATAAAAAATAAAAACTCTCTTGTACAAGGATATGAAATTCACAGACACAATATAAAAGGAGATTTTAATATTCCACAGACAGACTCAAACAAATTTAATTTAAATTAACGTCTAAAAAGTTATTAGTAAGTCTTATTACTCTATTACCTGTTGCTTTTAACCCCTTGTTGTACTTCACAAATACCGGTTAACGTTACTCTTTTTGCTAAAATTTTGGAGAAACTATCCACACTCTCTATGAGGCACTGTACGAGAATACAGGGCATAATGGATCAAAAGGTCTAAATGCAGCGCACCGACTATAAACCACAGGGACGCACCGCAGATATAATAGGATAGGAAAACTGGTAAATCGTTGCAGAACCACACTCATCAAGCTGATACCTCGATAATTTTCTTGATCAATTTTTTCCCTTTTCTGAAAATCAGAATCAAAATGCTTTCTTTCCATTTGGATGGTATACCCTTAACTAAAGGTATTTTATCAGCGAAAATTTAAAAGAAATTAAAAAATTAAAATGTTTCAATAAAATAAAATAAACTAATAGATATAAAAGAATCTCGTGTGGTGTTGTGAAACATATTTGGAAAGGGACAATGAACTTAAAAAATTAGATAAAAGTTATAAATGCACTAATACTTTTATGCTCAAATATTGGTAGAATGCAAATTCTATTTTCGACTAAAAAGGATAAATATTGTGTAGAAACATTTGTGTTGTATGGAAGAGTAGCAAACACTAGAATTAAAGACATACAGGGTGTTTCATCATAAAAAAATGCTTTCCGATTTTGCATTGGCCATCTTAATCAGCATGAAAAATACTACTATTTGGCTAATTTAACCACTGTATCTCGAACCAATTCCTACAAAAAAACATTTTCTCTGCTTTACAAGAAAATACCTTTTTTTGAATGTCGCTAAGTTCGGCTTGCGACTGACTCCTATTGAGCAAAATGTCCATGTCACTGCGGGTTCTAGTGAAGCTTTTGTTCATATTGGACACTGCCGATTTCAGATCTACCGACATGCTTCTGGAGAATTTCGACGGCTGGACATCCTCGGAATCGCCGCGTTTGCGTTTCCGGTCTCCACAATTGAAGATTTGCTTTAAAGGCGACTTCATGGACTTCGCAGGCGAATCTCTCCGAGGGGATGTAAACAAGGCTCGTCTGAGTTGCAATCGGTCATTTTCGGCGAAATTGAATTCGGATGAACCTTAAATGTGGAAAACCTTCTTGGAATACAGTGAGGTCAAACTCTTCGTCTCTAATCTAACAGTGCCAACCATACAGCTACTAGATATATAGAGTATGCTGATAATACACAAACATTTGTAGCCGCCAAAAGAAAAAATTCGAGAATCATGAGCATGCGCGGTCAATGTGGATTTGGTAGAATATGTCTAATTACATTGAAATATTTAGGGAAAAACGAGTTAAGTGTGGAGATTGCTGTTTAGAAAGAAAATGGCGCAACATGCAGGTTAGTGTGTGAAATCTAGGGGCATGAGCAGAATAATATATTTAATTAGCATAAAAGCTACGAGGAAAACCAATAAAATTTACCACTTGGCAACAAAATGGTGAAAGATATTAAGCTCCGTGGCACGAAGAGGATTATTTAATTAAGACCTTATTAAAGCCGGCTTGTAATATTCTGCTTGTAATTGTGAAATATTATGCAGCAAGTATGGTAAACGGCATTTGAGTCATGAGTTCAATTGGCGCGAGCGGAGCGAGTGACTTAAAAAGTTTACCAAACGTGTTGCATACTATACTTTTTCTAAGACTGTTAGATTTTAGGTACAGTTTCGCAAAACAACACCAATACATTCACTGCCATGGCCGTCAGATTGTATAAGCGTCAAAATTCAAGGCGTGGGAAATATCTCCCAAAACATCCACCTGCTCCCAAACCCGTGTGGTAAAATCCCAGAAATGTCCGAAGTAGCTCAGATCCCTGGGAAACGAAACTGAAGTGGTAAAGTTACTCTTCCTGCTAGCTAGATCGGTGTGTAATTAGGTATTTTACAGACGGGAGTAGGAAAAATTTAGTTTGTCCAGATAATAAAAAATGTAAACAAAGAAAGGGATGAAAAATGATAACCTGCTGTTCATATTTATCAAAGATTTTTAGGTTGCGACATACTAATGCACCCAGCGAAGGTCTGCGCCGCAACGTCGCACATTGGGGCATTTCCGGAAGCAATTAACTTACCTGAATAACCACGCCTACCAGATGAAGTTTTTTCCATGCTGGAACTGATTCCCATCGTCCGACTACCAACCCTGGCGCTTTTATCAGGACTTTTAAACAGTGCCCGTTTGGAGGACGTGTTTTCTGAAGACCAGCTAGTCACTGACTTTTCGATTTCGCCCGTAACCTTGCGGAAGCGGAGAGCCAACTTCTTCTTGGCAGAACTCGAAGGTGTCCTAGTTTTTACCCTTGGGCTTTTGATTGGGGTTTTCTTTGGCGTCTTTCGGGGACTCTTATGACGATTAAGCAACTCCATTTTCCTTAAGACATATTTCAATAGACATTCAGTTTATATGCAGTACAGATATGCATGGGGATCTTGAAAACCATCAAAGTTCTAGAGAAAAATAAAATAAAAAAAAAATCTCAATTTATGGATCCAAAATTTGTTATTGTTGAAAGGGCCAGAAAAGGCCCTGAATCCCAAATACTAGAAAAATTGCACTTTTTCTAAAATGACATCTATTTATCTTTAAAGATAAGTCATATAGGGATAAGTCTATGACATGTACTTTTTATGGACAGAACAAATACAAACTCATGATTGAACGTTTTCAAACAATGGTGAAAGATTAAATCTATAATAAAGAAAACAAAATGCTTCCTAGAACTTATACATATAATCATTAACACTGCAAGTTTTTCAAGCTAAATAACAAAATTTATCTATATATATTTAGATCTAACTTTTTAATTTATTAATTTTCAAAGCTTCAAGCAAAATTAATTTTGCGCCCTTTACTTCAAAAATGTAAAATTTGAAAATCATGATTGAAACTATGATTACATTCTCTTAAATGAATTGAATAGTTGTAATTAAGCTTCTCATTGCTGAATGAATTATTTGTTTACTAAAACATCTTCACAATCATTTTGGGTCAATCATTACAACAAAACTTTTGATTCTATTTGTTGCAATTTTATTATTTTTATTAATGTTCCTAAAGAATTGTTTTAAAATCTATTTTTATATTATGTTTACTTAATAAGACGGACACTTTTTCACTGGAGTTTCCAAAACATGTTAAAATATTACATTTAGATTTTTGGATTATTGGAAAAATCATTTCTAAACCATTATGGTATTGTTTTTGCTTTAATTTATTGTCTATGACATTTAGCAACCAATCGTTCTTAAAAGCTTTTTGTTTGATATTTAATTCAGTTGTAGAATCCGTGGAACTTGAGGATTTACTGGTTAATCTATGAATCATTCTGTGAAAAGTTGCTAAGATAAATTTGGAATAGTAATATAAGGATCAAGGTTTATAAAAAATGAAGAAACTATAAAAATTAGATATAGAAAGGTAATTGAATTATTGCCATTGTTAATTTAATATTAGGGTGCAAGTTATTAATACGATTAGGTAAACAAACTTTTTCTTTTTCCATACTTCTGCCAATAACTTAAGAAAAAATTGGGTTTATTAATCTCCGCGGTAAGAACATTCTTTGATATTTAACAATACCTGTTTCTGTTCTCTCTCTTTTCGAGATCCCTACACTGAAAATCCTTATCTGGTACACACACTATATGAAATCTAACCTTCCATCCACCAAAATCTGTCTTGCTCTCAGACCCGCCAAAGAAGACCCTCCCGCTTGCAAATTTGCGCTGGAAAACGTTATCCGTCGTCGCGCCAGATGACTCAATCTTCGCCCTGGTGATTTGGCATTCCACTTGGGTTTCAACATTTTCCGCTTGGATGGACTTACTACGGCAGGAGGTTCGAAAACTGTGCAACTGGACTGAGTTTCCGCGCCCACGAAACGTTTGGCATACTTCTCGCAGAGAGCTTCTATCTCTTCGGACACACTGCTGCAGTTGTGACTGAAAATGTAATGGTAATTGTAAGACAGGATATTAATCAATCAATTCATGTCATGGTATACAAAAGTACTTAATATGTCACCAAGATGAAAATAATTCTGCTTACTGCAAATACCACATTTATTTAACAAAAACCACCAGCAACGTTTCTAATCGAATTAGATGGTAGTGATAGTAAAAATAAATAAAACAAAAGTACATTGAAATAAATAAGGATATTTTTGAATTCAGTAATTGAAATTATTACTACAAGAAAAGAAAAAAGGGCAGGGAAAATGTAACATGGTACATGTTATATGTTACAAAAGCGTGGAGTCCACAGTATAATCATAAATAGTTCTGGCAACACAGGCTCTGACCACAGCAGCGGTGTGCGTAATTATAAAAAAAAAGATAACATTGTATAACAGTTGGTTAAATCCATAGTGTGCAGAATACTGTTACATCTTTCTAAATTTTTACAATTAATCAGCATATCTAAAAAACTATTTGGATTAGATTTAGGGTAATCTGAATGATGTAACGGGAGTTCTATTGAAAATAAAGTACTATACTTATAAAATACCCTGTATAACACAAGCAACACTTTCATGCAAACAACTTCTACTCTTAAATTTTTTTGAAAAAAAAAACTCGTATGGAGATAAAAACAATTCCGCAGTAATAAGAGTAAAATGCAGTTTGAAAAAAATAACATGGAAAATACTAAATAAATGAAACTTTTCAAAGCACGCAATAGTTCACAAACAAAAGTGACTATTTCTCAAGTATTCTATCCATTATGCACTATTTCTTTCATAAACTACGAAGTTAAAATAAAAAGGTTTAATTTTCTTAATAATAACTTAATTTTCTAATAATACTGGAACGAGGGCCCCCCTTCTCAGCCAACGAGGATTTTCAATGTGGTTGAAAGCGAAACTGATGTAGATTTTTTGAACACCAGTTGGGGCTTAATTAAAAAGAGTGTTAATGAATACTTGAAGGGTCTGTAATATTTGTTGTTTCTTCCTAGTCTGGCGCGGTCTCATGTCCATGTTAAATAGTTCATTTATCTGCTTTTGCTTGTTATTATGTATATCTACATATGTTTAGTTTTATGCAAAACTGGCGTGTCAAAAACATTGTCTTGTAAGTGTACAGAATCTGTCTGTTAGACACTAAAAGGTTATTATTATTATTATAATTATTTAAGACAATCACAAAAAAGGTTAGATAATAACAAAGATAAAAATAAAAAAATGTGATTATGAAACTGATTTTCCTGTCACAAATGGCACATCCCAATATGAAAAACAATCTCACTGGGTCACCAAAAACAAAAGATTACAAGGACACACCTATGGGAAACAAAAAAAATAATAAGTTGTACTTACTGCAATCCATGATACCGATATTCTAAAACTGCAGGAAATTTATCAAATGGGATTTGTTCTATGCTCGCAATATTTGTTAAGAGAGATCTACCTATGATACTTCCCATATTTGTCTCCAGAGAACAATCTTTTGTGGAACTTGTGTTCTGTGTGTTTTTAACACAATTTTCATTCCAAAAGTATTGTTTATTTTCCTTAAGTTTATTTAAAATTTCTGAAGCTGATATATTAACAACAGTCACACTTGGTGGAGGCAGGACACCACTTATGCCTTTCTGTACCCTTTTAATAAGTTTTTCATCAAGTGTGTTCATATACTTTTCAAGATTTGGAGATGATACTTTGATTTGGCTCAAATTTTTGCTGAAACACTTTTTGTCTTCATCCTTTATTTGATCATCACCAAAAATATCAGGACTCATGTCAGAGATTATTGGGTTTTCATATTTCTTCTCAGGTGTCAATCCTAAACTTGGGTGTTTACGTTTCACAGAAAAACTATTGTCCTCTGTTTTTGAGAATATTAGTGTTAATCTCCTTTTCTCTTTGGGTATTGTGGTACTTAGAAATTGGCCATTTTTAATATTTCCATCGCCATATGGATTGCTAAATGATTTTTTTCTTTTAATTGAGGGTGTGGTATCATCACATACTGGTATGATCTCTAAATCCTTGTCATTATCTGCTGCATCATTGCAGCAAGAATTATTCTTTTTTAACAAAGAGGAGTTATTGACTCCTTCTTCTGCACCCAATTCTAAACAAGGTTTCTGAAAATTTTGCTGCTCTTTGGAAAAAAATATAAAGCCTTTTTCAGAGCTAGACTTTTTCCTATCTTCTGTACAACATTCAATTATAACTGTTTCTAATGCAGTTTCTTCTAATGACATATCTGGCTGACTAAGGTTAAACGAAGCCTCCTCATAAGCAATTATGGGTGATCCAACTGGGATTTCATCTGACTCAACACTCGAATCGGTTCCTTCTAATCCACTATAAACTGATTGAGCACTCTGCACAGAACTATTTATTTTGTCTGGGGTGAACAATAATCCCCTGGCCTCTTCATTATCTTTATCGTCAATTTCTTTCGGTAAAATAAACTGTTCCGTGAGAGTATCAGGTTTTTCAAGCAGGGCATCTTCATTAAAATAGATGGATGGTATTGCAAGAGAAAAGTTATTTACATATTCTTCTTGATTCAAGGCTTCAACATAACCACTATCATGATCCATTATAACTGGTATCTCCATTATATTGAAATATTTCCTTTCAAAAGTTGGCTATTACATTTGTAAGCATTTGATTGCAGCAAAATGTAATGCCAAGTGATTCTCAACCTCTTTCATAAGAACACAAGTCTCTTCCTTTAGTCTGTCATCTGGTGCTACCATGGAGGTTTCTGCAACTTAATGGAATAAAACATTATTTTCACAAACATCCTCGCAAAGAAACAGCTATTTTAATAGATCTTGAATTCTTTATTAAGTAAAAAAATATTTTTAATATCCTTTTAACTTGCTTTATTAGCACTCTAAATGGTATTTATAGCTCTGACTTCGACAATACTAGATACAATACTAAATATTTTTTGTGTCCACAATACCACAATTAACTTAAATATAAATTTGCCTTAGAAATAAATAGATTCTTAATATTTTCACAGACTTTATTTTTGTAAACTCTGAAAAAATCATCAAAGAATATAAAATACTTCATGAACAGAAGGAATTTCTATTTTATTCAAGAAAACACTCAACTAGACAAAGCAAAGAGTGAAAATTGAGGCAAGTTAGAAAACACTTTCACTACACTTTTTGGAAAATTTAATTCATAGGGCACATCAAGAAACCCCCTAACTGGCGCGTTCCCTTGCATATCAATTTGTCATGTTTCTATAATATACTGAATCTGAACATGTGCCGTTTATGCATAATCGCGTGCATCTACCGCAAGAATCAAATTTTAGGACAAATGTTCACTTACCCAAAATACTTTATGTATCGATCCAATTTCATTAATAATTTTAGACCAGCTGCACTTTCACGACAAGACAATAACGATTAACCTACCTCTGTAAAATAAAAACAAGTAACATTAGCACGGTATTTATTTCTTCCTCCTTTCTTTCACGCTTAATTTACCAGGTTCTGTCGTGAGCATTGCACAGAGCGGTTAAGCTCCGCTCGCTCCAAACAGAATCGTCTAATCGTCGCACAAAGTTTTGATATCGGTTCCAAAAGGGTAGTGTTTGTTTTTAAGTCTTTTGTGAAGGTTTTAAAGGTGTAACCCTTGGCGGCCACGCTGTTTTTTTTCGTCCACGCCGGTTAAAGGCGGGATGAACCAGGTTGGACCGCGGGCATAGCGGTGGAAGCCGATTTTTGCTATCGGTCAGAGATTTTTGAATGTTCACAATTGTTATGCGTTCTCCTTGGAGGGTGATGGATTCGTCCAGACGCTTTTAATTAAGGCAGCCTTCCACGTTCTAAAGAAAAGTCACCATTCACCGAGGAAATACCCGAACGATCCAGCAGCCTTGGCCAATAGAAGTAAATGAAGAAAAGAAGGGACAGTCGTTTATTGTCGAGGTTGCCAATTGTCCAAAAGAATTTATAGACAGAATAAACAAAAACGGATGAAAATTGAGCGGTATTTTCGTTGTTTTTTGTTTTCCTAGCAATAAAGTAATGACGTCATGTGAATAGTATATTATGCAACAAGTGCGGTAAACGGCATTTGACTCACGAGTTTATTAAACACTCGCTCCGCTCGTGTCAAATAAACTCGTGAGTCAAATGCCGTTTACCGAACGTGTTGCATACTACACTTTTTCTACGACCGTTAGTTTTTGGGTACATTTTCGCAAAACAACACGAATACATTCACTGACCTGACCGTCAGAATTGACAGACGTCAAAATTCAAAGGGTGGGAAATATCTCCGAAAACATCCGATTGCTCCCAAATTCGTGCGGTAAAATCCCGGAAATGTCCGAAGAGGCTCGGATTCATGGGAAAGGGAACTGACGTGGTAAAGTGACGCTTCCCGCACGCTAGATCGGTGGGTAATTAGGTATTTTACAGGCGGGAGTAGAAAAAAATGTAAAGTTTTTAACTCACTCGTTTATTAAAAACTCGCTCCGCTCGTGTCAAATAAACTCGTGAGTCAAATGGCGTTTACCGCACTTGTTGCATATTATGCTATTAACGGATCGCAAATCAAAAATAAGTGCAAGTTTTATGTGTTATTTGCATATAGCTCGTTTTTTCAACAAATGAGTTCAAAAATTAATCCGTTTCTTCACTGAACACCTAATTTTTAATCTACAGTGGTTTCTATAATGTATTACGAATTCGTACGCTTTCAGGATCCGCTGCGCAAAAGGAGGTAATATATTTACTATATTTTTTATTGAGCACAAAGGGAATGAAGTAACCCTGACAATTTGCTTTATCATCCAAACTGTTTACAACATTATTTTAAATTTTTAACATTTCTAGAATAGGTAAAAGGGTGGTGCATAGATATTTTTGAAATTTTATTTTATTTTATTTTTCAAATGTGTCATTTAAATTAAATAATATAAACCTTAATTTTAAGAAGCACTTGAAGAAGCAAAACCAGACCTTTTTCAACGTGGCATTGTTTTTCATAAAGACTTTAGCATTTTTTTTTTTCTAAAGCCTTCTGTAAAATACCTAATTATACACCGATATAGGGTGCAAAAAGTGTCATTTTACCACCTCAGCTTCGTTTTCCATGTTTCTGAGTCACTTCGGATATTTCGAGGATATATTACTCACGGATTTGGGAGCAATCGGATTTTTTCGAAGATATTACAGAACGGCTTGAATTTTGACGTTTGTCAATTCTGATGTCCTTGTTAGTGAATTTATTCACTTAGTCACTTTCCACGTCAGTTTCGTTTTTCACAGATCCGAGCCACTTCGGACATTTCCGGGATTTTACCACACGGGTTTGGGAACAATCGGATGTTTTCAGAAATATTTCCCACGCTTTAAATTTTGACGTTTGTCAATTCTGATGGTCATGTCAGTGAACGTATTCGTGTTGTTTTGCGAAAATGTACCCAAAAACTAACGGTCGTAGAAAAAATATAGTATGCAACACGTTCGGTAAACTTTTTAAGTCAGTCGTTTATTAAACACTCGCTCCGCTCGTGTGAAAGAAGCTAGTGAGTCAAATACCGTTTACCGAACTTGTGGCACAATATACTATAAGTCACTCGTTTATTAAACACTCACTCATCATTTGTAGAATATTACAAGCCGACTTTAATAAAATCTTAATTAAATAATCCTCTTCCTGCTATGGACAGTAAAACACAGGGTACTGAACCTACAGTGGAGATTATATTAGAAAAAAAGTGAAAACTACTTTCGATCAAACAAGGTGTTTGTAACTCGGCAGTTAGTACTTTTCCGTTGATTATATTATCCGAACTCTTAACGGGTAACGTAATAACTGAATGTGTACATACCCATATTCGTTTGTCTCCTGAGAACTATTAAAGATACATATTACTAATTGGGGTTACTTACTTTTTTATGAAGAGTTTAATAGCGTAACGCCTATTTAGATTTTTCCACATCTTTGAAAGTTTCAAGGTGATTTCCAGCTTATTTGAAATTATAAAGATAAAAACGTCGTTAGATAAGTTGATCTTTTTGTGTAGAATTCAATGGCCCGCACATTTTGTTTAGTTTACCGTGTATAACCAAAACATATCTTTTTTACAATGACATTCCACAATCGCTATTGCTTATTTTGTTAAATACAAATAGAAGTAAAAAAGCCGTTCTTAACTGCAAAATTTATGGTAGGAAGAAGGTGATGGATGAATGTCAACAGCAAGGTGGGTTGCAGTTAGTGTCTCCTCTTTCGTTTTCGGTGGTAAAGATGTGTTTATCATGTATGAAGGTTTAACGGCGCATAAATATTTGGAAAACGTCTAAAATTTGACAATGCTGTATATTCCCATCATTATGGCTCTTCTGAGAGTTTTTAGAAGAAACTTTCGGTCACGTTTTTAAAAGAAAAAATGTTAATGAATATAATACAATATAATATAATAAATTACAGAAAATAACAGTAGAGGGAGAAGTTTATTTCTATTGTATAATCGAACAATTAATTTATTCATTAGGAAAAGTGTATTTATTGTTAACATGAAATCTCACTGAATTAAGAAGAACATTGAAGGTATGCTTTATCTAAAAATTTAATTAATTTTAAATTCTTTAAATTACTAATTAACATACGTATAAAGAAATCGAAAAAGTTAGGTACATATACTTTCGTTGTGTACTCTCAACGTTGCACCGTCACTAAGACGGCAACGATATGAGAAAAGTAATTTATATAATAATTCATTTTTCTTATTGTCTTGGTGATGGAAACGTGGAACTGTTAGAGAAGCTGTCTCCTGTCGACTTAAAATCAGACGAGACAGCGGGGTAATCGTGGTACATAAAACTTAGTAATTTAGGGATTTAAAAGTGGTAGCAATTAACTTTGCTGTTTTCTTCCGAAACCCCGGTTCATGGTGTAGTAATATGGAATGCCACCATTATTCGCCCTAAAATACGTGTCATCCCGGCAACGTAAGTTGCTCTAGCCGAACATTATGTTTTACGCAAATTTAGAACACTAACAATCCAAAAATCTGGGGTTCATATACAGGACCGCATTGACTTTTTATTAATCGCTAACAACACAATATGAAAATCTGACAAGAAGATAATTAAGGTTTATTTCGCACTTCGTACATTAGAAATCAGAAATCGTTTCCCAATTCAAGTTTTATTGAACGGACCATCTGTGTCATACATTCATTTGATTCTACATTCTACATCCTCTGAATTTAGCCGAAAATTGTGGGCAAAACTAACCAAAACTAAACTTGATATTCTGTGATGGCGATAGCCATGACTAAAGCTTATTGGGGCCAGACAGTAGAATTTAATTTTATAAAATGAAGCGAGTTGTTAGTAATAGATTGTAATTTGAACTGCCATAAAAAATGTCTATTTCGCCTTACAGGTTAGAAAATATAAAGATAAATTGTTATTGTAGAGTTTTTATTGTTTTCCTTTAAAGGAAAGTGGATGAATATGGGTTTGAAAGACCAGACAATTTCAGTTACCTAGTTTACGATAAATTCGTTTCCCACTATATGAGAGTTTTAACGAGGCGAGCACAAAGATGGAATTTGGTCTTCAGAGGAAATTCTGAATACAAAAAATCAAATACATTAAAGAGATTTGTTCGTAAAGGTGATTGTACATAGGAGTTGTCAAAGTTAATTTCTGCTACGTGCAGTTCATCTGGGAACTGTTGTAGGTATTCCTTCTCATCTAAGAATAAACTGCTGGATGGTAGTTTCTGGAGGAGAAAAATTGAAGAACCAGAGTTCTTTGAGTTATCTTGAGATGAAGGATAAAAACAGAAAAACCAAAGTTATAGAGTCTATCCAAATAGATCTACCTAGAACATTTCCAGATAATATATTTTTTTCTTCAGAAGACAATTTGTTTTCTACAATGTTGTATGATGTACTTGCTACATTTGCACAGCAAAATAGTGAAGTGGGATATTGCCAAGGTCTCAATTATATAGTAGGTAATATATATAATTTAAAGTTAAATGTTTTTATTTATCTAACAATAATTATTTTCAGGGTTAACATTATTAGTAACTAAAGATGAGGAAGCTTCCTTTTGGCTGCTAAAGGTGCTTGTAGAGCAAATGTTGCCGAAATATTATGTAAAAACTATGTCTGGACTATTGACTGATCTTGATGTTTTAAATGAACTGGTACAAAAAGCAGAACCGGTAGTTCATAGGTAAAAGGCTAAGTATTCACATCTGCACATTGAAACATGTGAAAATTTTCAAGGCACATACAGAATGTTGGAATGCCATGGGCAATGGGTACAACAAAATGGTTTATATGTCTCTATGCTGATGTCCTTCCTCCTGAGACAGTATTGAGGATCTGGGACTGCTTATTTTATGAAGGCTCAAAAATAATATTTAGAGTGGCTCTGGCTCTTATTAAAATACATAAAGATGTCATCTTACAAACAAGTGATTTAAGTGAACTTATGGCTGTGTTCAGGGATATGAAAAATCATGAGAGAGTAATTGACTGTCATAAATTTATGAGTGTAAGTTTATTTTTTATAATTGTAGACAAAACTACTTATACTCTGCGTTATATTTAACAGGATGTGTTTGCACTATCCGGGAGCCTGTCAAATAGCAAAATACAAAAATTGAGGGAAAGATATTGTAAAAAAGACAAAACTTAATAAAAATATATTTAAACATGTTCTTGCGTTTCTCTAGAGCAAACTTTATTTTTTGGGAGTTCATTCTCCAATTCAAAACTTCTTACTACCATTGAATTAAGTAGGGTAAGATTTATGTAATTAACATTTTTGTTGGATACTGATAATACATCTTATTTTATTCTGAAATACTAATTGATATATACAGACAAATCATTTATTCTGTCAGAACATCACTCATATTTTCATCAGGTACTCTTCCAATAAAGTAGAGCAAGAATTCTTGTTAAATAGTTTGCATTCACTTGGTATGCTTTTCTAAATAGTCTTTTGCTTCATTGATTTTCGACGCTAAATAAGGAGATCCGCCTCTGTCGGGGTGATTGACGGCCATAACCCTCTTGAAAGCTTCCTTAACTTTGGCTTTGTTTGCAGAGGGACTTATTCCTAATATTAAAGATGCTTCTCGCCTATTCATTTTCTGGTCAAAACCGCCTTTATAGTATTTTGAATGTGCAGCTTGTTCGAAATTGGGCAAGTTCTTCATAGCTTCGCTAAAAGTTTTGGCCGCCTGGGGCATTTGTCGAAGCACATATCTAGCTCCAAAACCGACGGCAGCCAGTCCCAAACCAGTTAAAATAACACCATTCTGGAACAATTATTAGAATAGAACACAATTTACACGCTGTTAAGAAACAAATGTAATGATTTCGTATGTATTACCATTTTCACAAAAAGTGTTCCTTATACTAAAAATTTTCTACCATTTCTAATGGCCACTGCTAATCATGAACATCATAGAAAGTCGTAACAACAATTCGCACACAACAGGGCAAGTTTGCTGAGACCATGTGCCCACTGACCGGCTTGCACCAACAATTCCTTTGGATTTTTCTTTTTCCTATCCTAAAAAGGCTACTTCCCTCGCTTGCTTCCACCCTGAACCCCCCGGGTTTGGCAAACGGAATGTATATATATATATGATGATAACCCAGGTGCCGAGATGTGGCGTCACCTATCCTCAACCAAACAAGTCTTATACAATTCTTATCGATCAAACAGCATTTTGATTTTGGTTTTTGACGTAAATAACTAACCAACGGAGATCCCATAACTTTATTTCTGATTTTTAATTTTTGGACTTTGTCGATAAAAATAATCTTAATATATTTGTATTCAAACTGCGTTTATTGGAAATGTGTTTTTTGCTTAAAAATTGCATCTTGAAAATACAAAATAATTCTTGAATAAACTAGTCCACAATATTTAAGAAAGAACAAATATGAAATGGAATTTTGCTATATGATATCTTTATCTACGCAATTCAAAATTTGGGGTTTGCGACACACATCATGGTTGCAAAGAATATGCTGATAGGGGCAAATGTAAAAAATATAATTTGTAAAATATTTGACATTTCGTTCAGCACTGTACAGTAGTAATAGAAAAGCATAGAATTTACTGGAATGTAATAGTTTTCCTCCAGTTCATGTAGCAAATTTTTCAATGACTCAATTATGTGCTCTTTAGTAAAAATTGTGATAACCACATCTTTATCTTATCTAGTAATTATTTTAAGATATCCCATATCAGAAAGTTTGCACATTGTACGCAAGTTTGTCATTTTTTAATAAGTTGACCTCTAAATTCTAGTGATCCTAAAAGTGACTTCAAATTTCTCCTCTTAACAAAGATCAGGAAATGTTAGGTATTTGGAGTAACAGGGGCTATTAATGTATTTTTCCACATGATGGGAGAGCTAAATAAAATGCCTGTTTTTAATGTAAAAAATATTTTTATTACCTCTGCTGCTATATGCCACTTATCACTCCCCTTCCATTTTAGAAATTATGAAATTTTCAATAACAGTCTGTGCTAAAATGGAAAAACGTGCGTTTTTAAATAACTTATAATTTATAAGGCAATTAAAAGAAAGGCAGAAAAGGATATGAAAATTCAAATAATGAATTTTAATTAGAATACGGAAACCTGTGGTGCACACTACTGAGTTTACAGTCAAACATACAGAATATTGGATCATGTCAGTGTCGGCAGCAGATGATAAAAACAATATATCATCTGCTGAAGAATCATATATCAGTATCAGTCAACTCCATAAGTATAACAAACATTACCTGCTGTACTGTTATTCTCAACAGCTATGATATGAGCAGTATCATTATTAAGATTCACAGCTGAAAAATTTGCTCCATTAGAAAGAAGTTCTTGGCAGGCATGTGTATGATTTCCTCTTGCTGCATACATTAAGGCTGTATTACAGAGCTGAAATGCAGCCAAAGCATAAAATACTGAGATCTGCTAAGGTTCTTTAAAATATAGGAAGTCAAACTTTATATAGTAGTAATTGCAAACTAATTTAAATACCCACATGATCAACATGGTTTACATCTGCATGACTATTAATGAGGAGTCTAACAATTTCATGATGCCCACCATTAGCTGCCAAAATTAACGGACTCTCTTCATCAGGCCCCACCTTATTAACATCAGCACCATGTTTAATCAGAAGTTCAGCACTGTTGTACTGACCATACGCACAACTCCAGTGTAATGCAGTTAATTTGTTTTGGTCTAAGTGATCAATATTGTTTTTAGTTAAAATTTCTTCTTCTGTTAGTTCTCCTTGGGCAGCTTTCATGTGATAAGTTAATTCAGTTGGCTGCGGTAGGAGAGTTTCAGTTTGTGTATTTCCTCTTTGAAGGTTTGTTAAAACTGTCGAAGTGGTACACTGTCTATAAGGTTGGAAAGCGCTTTTTCTACTTCGATCATGAAGAGATTGAGGAGACCATTTCTGATTGACATTAACTAGGCTGGGGCTCCAGGATGCGATGTCTGGGGAATTTGACTTGGATGTAGATACGCTACCGCATTTGGAAACATCACTTTCTGTGTCTAGAATTGGAGAAACGGACGTATCTTCCATTAGAGGAACGAAGGGATTGATTAGTTAGGGTTTGCTAGGAGAAAATTGGTAAGTTTATGTAGGCTAGTAACATTAAGATTGTCTGATTACCCATCGACCAATAAAGGAACACTTACTCATTCATTAAATTTCGATCAACAATTACTAAAATGGTGAAAGTTTCAACTTTCTTTATTTAAATTTACTTTGACAATCATCTGACATTGGGGATATAAAACATCTGCTTGTTTACGGCGGCATTGCCAAATATAGCTTATTTTCTTCGTTAACCATTTTTTTCAATACTTGGTATAGTCTCCTTTCTTCTGAAATAGAATCTTACAATAAAATCCACCTTACAGATTTGCGTACCAAAAAAATGACAATTAAATCGGTCCCATCTTTATTTAAATGAGAAATTTATACGCTTAACATCGCCATTTAGCTTCAATAAATAATTTTTTCTTATCATTCATAACAAAAACTAAGTTCCAGTTCCATCCAGAGAGCCAAATTAAATAGAGTTCTTTTTTTCTTCAGAAAGCAGTAAAGGCGATTCTGGCAACACTCAGCAAATATTCAAACCTAACTTTGACATTTCATTTTTTGTAAGGCTGGAAGGAAATCAACTCGCAATATTTTTAAAATAATGTGAGTTGTGATCGGTGTTGAGGTAATTATATTGAACATTTTTTGTATCCTACGTATACAAACAGTTTCGTAAAATTGTTGTTACACTGATTATGTTTCAGGTGAATTTGTTTTATTATAAATGTTGTTTGGAATGTACAAATTTTATACCAAACCAACGGTACACAATGTCAGGACAAGCTGAAGGACCAACCCAAGAAAATAACCAGAATGTCACAGGACCACAGTTTACTTTTACTCGAACTCGTAACAATAACCAGAACCAGTTGTTTAATGTTAGAGATAGGTTATTTCATACATTATTTTATAGAGCAGCTCTAGGGTATGCAAGGACAATTCCCCGAGCAGGGCGTAGATTTTTAGAGTTTCTAAGCTTAGTATTAGCACTAGCAGCATTTTTTGTATTGATGTACATTCACTATTCCTTTTCTCGATCACCGAATACATGTTTAGCTAACATTAAAGATACTTGGCCTAGAGAGGGTATTCTAAGAGTTGAAATAGTGAGAAATGTCGCAAAAGACTACAGCATAGAGCAGAGTTATGCTAAGGAGGAGAAACTGAAGCAACAAAGTAAAACACATGATTTGACTAGCATGTTAGGAGTTTTTGCTAGAGAGGAGTTTGTTAACATTGAGCCATCACCAGTGGAACAAACGGACAAAGAGACGCAGCCCCTGAGTGATCAAAGTAATAGTATACATTACTAAATTAAGGCGAATCAGTGGATAATTTTGTTTAAGGTTATGTCAGTATCACGGAAAGGCCAATAACCAATACTACAACTCCAAACTTTTTGGCGAATATTTCATCAACTATTTGGGATGGTATTAGTATAATGACACAACTTCCTAAAGCTGCAGCTCATATGTCCAATGTAAATCAGTCAAATGTAGATAAAAATCATCAAGTTGAAAAACTGTCAGATAAATTGACCCCTGCACCTGTTACTAACGGATTGGAGAAAGGTACAAGATCATTGCTGCTTATTTTGCTTGAAAGAAAAGCATTTGGTATTTTGTTCAGGATTTCCTGAAGATGAATACATAGTGGAATATTCTTTGGAATATGGTTTTTTGAGATTGAGTCCTGCTACAAGGGAGCGGCTTAAGATACCAGTTCACATTGTCCTGCTCGATCCCACAAAAGATGAATGTTTTGGTGATCCATTTAGTAGAGTTATTTTGAAAGAATTTTTGGGCTATGATGACCTGCTGATGGCTTCAATAAAGACTCTTGCTGAAGAGGAAAATAATAAAGGCTACTTAAGGTATAGTGAACTTGTGTATTGCCTCTGTTTTTTGTTTTTGTTTTGGAAGAAATGTTTTTCATAATAAAAACGTGAAACCGTTTTTAATCCTTTATTTTTGGGCCACGACAGATTTATTCAAGTCAATAAACATAATAAGTACATTAGTAAAAGTTGCTTCATGATGCATATTTCTTAGGTACATTTATTCTTTAGGCATTGATGATCTTATTGCAAATAGATAAATGATAGGCAGGATTTCTGCACTTTCATAGATGGGATTATATGATTGGATCTATTTAAATTGCACATTGGATTTAATATGTTCCCTATTTAACCACTACTTAATTTTAATTTTAAATGTATGGGTTTTTTTTCTTAACAAAAATGATTTAAGTTCATTAGACATTTGCATAAAATGTCGACTGCAATGGATCTCAATCATTGTAAATAGAAAAAGCCAAAATTTTATTGGTTAGCATAGTTATATCCACATTATTTTGGAAAGTATTCACTTGTTTTTAACTTCTTATTAGGCAAAACAATTTGTGCAGGCCTTTAATTTTTTATGCTAACTGCTCCCCCTTATATTAGGTTATAGAATATTTATTTTTTTGATCTAAAAGTTAAATAAAAAAAAGAAATTGAGGCATTTTCTTTAAGTTTGATATTGTTGTGGCAAAAATTTGTGACAACTTTAGTATTATGCAGTAAAAAAGTTGTACCACTGGCCAAACCTAAGGTGGTCATAAATGTGTACCACCATTCATTTAGAGAATTGGCAATTTATAGCAGTAAACAGTTAAATATACAAGCCTAAAACCTATTTTTACTTTGGATAAATATTATTAACAAAAACGCAAATATTAAAATTTTGCATTCTATTTGTTTGTTTGGCACCTTATTTCAAGTTATAAAAAGTGGTACTTTAAAATAATGTAAAATCTCCAAATTAATGTTATTTGTTGATTAGTGTGTTTTGACGAGTTTAGTGATGAGTGACTTATTAAGTTTGATGTTAATAATACGTTTCGTCACCATCCTGATCGGGATACACTATTGCGGGCTATTGATATGTTGCAACTTGGGTGTGGTAGTTAGAGCCACAGCAGAAGCTGTCATCAGCTTAAAAAGTCCAATTAGTTGCCTATGGCAACAATTCTGGGGATGTTTGGGCAAGATAGAAGGACGAAGCAAGAGTTACCCAACTAATTCATGACAGATTCATCCGAATGTAAGCTTTAAGAAACAGATCTATCACGGCCAACCAGATAAGAATGGAACTTCAAAATGTTCATCACGTGGCTGTAGGTGACCAGACTATACTACTATACAGCTGCATGCAAGAAGAACAGTGCTTTTCAGAGGAAATCGAAGTAGGTATTTAGAATGGGCCTGGGAATGCTTTGAGTGGGATGACCAAAATTGAGGGCGTGTCCTCGTTACGGACCAACCTGGATTTGGATTAAAGCCAGACTTGAGAAGAACAAGAGTGGAAACGTAAGACGTTTAGAAACTATCCTAGAAGACGAGGTTGGTCATGCATTAGTTTAGGAAATCATATGGAGCTCGTTTCTGTTGAAGAGATTTTAACAAGTCAGTATCTTGAAAAGATTTTGGAAACTATAGTTCTTCCATATGCAGTACAAGCAAACAATGATATTATTCTAATGCACGTCAATGTTCGACCATATTCTGCGAGGACAGTAAGAAAGTTAGAAGAAAACCATATTGATTGATACTATGGCCCTGCGCAATCGCCAGAATTAAATCCCATCGAGCACACGTGGGATATACTTCAGAGACATGAATCAGCACAAAATTTAATATTTCAAACAAGAAATGAGTTGCTAAATTGTTTAGAGCAACAATGGTGAAACAAGTTGTATAGCTGTATAGTTTAACTTTTGCCCTTATTATTCGAGTACCGTTAAATGATTATTGACTTATTTAATTTATATGTTTAATTTGTAAACTTCCTAAATGTAAATATAAAATGTTGTTCTCTATTCAATTTTGATGTGCGTATAAAAATTGTTGCATAATATTCTGTTACATATATTTTTTTGGGCAAGTACACTTAAAAAACTTTTTTTGTTGTAGGAATGTGGTATCTGGTGAACACTACCGATTTGTCAGTATGTGGATGGCAAAAACATCTTATTTTGCAGCCTTTTTCATCATGGTTGTATTTGTGAGTATATTAAATTTTTATCAGGCTGATAACTGAAACTATGTAAAAATTTATATTTTTATGGAACATTAGATGTTTTGGAAAAACGGGATATAGCAATTTGATGATTTTTTTTTACTCTATCCGCCTAAAATATTGTCAGTATGGCAGTGGTGCCGCTTTTATCGAAAAGTAGCGACACTTTTGATTTTGATCTCTTGCGGTGAGATATTAATTATTTAAGTATTTCTGCTAAAACAATTCCAATGCTTATTGCTGGGTTGTTACTATACCATACAAGTAATAGTAATAATAATAAAGTAATAGCTTTCTTTATTTACAGGGTTTTTGCAAATCAGGATTGTTTTCGTCTTACACAAAATTGGCATAAAATATTTTTTTTCAATAGCATTAATATTTTCACAGTTAATTAAAGCATTTCCAATTCATATATCTTATTCCTATGCCTAAATTGTCAGGTTTTCAAAATAAATAATAAGAGAATGTAACTATTTTAACACATTTAAGTTTAAGGTCATGTCATGATATGATGTATTTATGAAAAATTGACAATTTAGGAAGATTTAGGTGGAGAAAACAATTAAAAATTGATAAGCATGATTTAAATGAAGTTTTGATGAAACTTTTTTTTTTCTATGAAGCGTGTAGACATGTAGACATGTATTTAGATGGATAGGTTGTCCTTTATATATAGGACCAAATTTCCAGAAGGGTTCCTATATCTTGTTCACCAGAAACGTCTAACCTACCATCCCCAGTGAATCACTGTTTACAGGGTAGTCCGATGATGATGAAGGAACTATAACGTTAACTTTTCAAAGAAACTTCCACAGGCCACTGTAATAATTTTTGCAAAACAAGATGATTGGCGAAACGTTAGCAAGTTCCGGAAGTTTTGTACAAAGAACTGTAACATATTCATCAGATAAAAATAAGTAGAAAAGTCCATATAAATGTAGGTCCCTAAACGCTCCTTTTTGGAGATACAGGGTGTTAAAATATGGAAAAAAAAGATTTTTTCTTATTTTAAAAAAAAAATCTAGATTTCGTTTTCAAACTTAATACATATTAAGTACACTTTATTATTTAAATTAATTGAAAGTCTCACGAACGCTTGTTTATCTATGATGTAAATTTGTTTTTAAGGGGAAATAAGGGGAACTTTGAAAGCAAAATGTAGAAAAAAAAAACGGTTTTGCTGAATACGTTGTTAAAGTTTGTCCATTATAATTCGGACCACCCTGGCAAGAAACGGAGCTAAGTCAAGCAAAATGTCGGAATAGAGTGAAACTATTAACTATTATTAACTACTATCCTTATCACGTATAGTTGTGTCGTACTTTTTATTTTTTTGTCGTTTTCATAGCAGAACAATTTGGTTTAATACATGGGTATAATTCAACATTGCGCATCCAAATATACCCTAATCCTCCATAGCCGTATCACACACAAAAAAATCATACATTCATTAAAATTGTCCAAATATTGTTTTATACATAGAAAAACAACAGTGTACCAGATTTCTTAATGTTAATAATGCATGCGGAAGGTGCTTTTCCCACATTCTAGAATTCGTTAATTGGTTTTATAGGTTATGTGGTTTAAATTTATTATTTTTTAATATTTATTTTGTTAAGACCTTCTCCTCATTCCGTTACATAATAGTATATTATGCAACAAGTGTGGCATTTGACTCACGAGTTTAATAATCGAGAGACTTAAAAAGTTTACCGAACGTGTGGGATACTATACTTTTTCTACCACCGGGTACATTTTCGCAAAACAACATGAATACATTCACCGACATGACCGTCACAATTGTGGGAAACGAAACTGACGTGGTAAAGTACGGCTTCCCGCACGCTAGATCGGTGTGTACTTAGGTATTTTACAGATGGGAGTAGAAAAAACAATTTATAACAATATAAATCAATCGTCCATCCTTAAAGAGACTTGGTTCTACAAAACTAAAAATAAAAATACTTCTTTGCTGTTGGATTGTTTTTATCTCTTGGATATTGGGTAGAGTCATCGATTTTTGACCCTAAACAGTATGCTTGGGAGTTGGCATTGTCTTTTTTTTCCAAAGAATTAAATTTAATTTATTTTCTTACAAAGTCCCCAGTCCTTGCTTTAGTTGTGGTTCTGATTTCTATTAGTTCTTCGACAGCTAAATCTCATTTGAATCATTTTGTTTTTTTATTTGTGTTCTTGTTTTTGTTATCTGTTTTATTATATGTATTTTATGTTATTTTGCAAATTTTGCAAATTCTTTCGGGTAATACACCTCCTCTACTATATGGATAAGGTATTTTCTGGACTTTCAGTTAGTAATGTTAGGTTTACTAGCGTTCTATCTTCTTTTCGAGAAGTCTTCCAAACCGAAATTAAATGTTGAGCTGGCAAAGTTTTCAGTAATGTTAAAGTGACTATTTCATCTTTTGCATCTTCTTTCAACTTTTGTCATCTGGGGACAATGTTTTCTAGGTTTCTCGGAATTTGTAATTAAAATGTTGCTGGAGATTACATTTTTCCTCTTCATGTTTTTTTTTTCAAAAAAAGTCTGTAATTTTCCATATATCTTACTTGTATCACTTGTTATAATGTGCATCAAGTTCTGCTATGGATGTTATTATTATCTTGTCTTTTGGGCTTTTGCACCTTTTGCATCTTGTGTTCCGCTTTTTTTTCTCTCTAGCTCGTCATAATTTTTCTGTCCGTTAACTATTTCCAATCAAATGCTAGTCTTTAAAACTATTTCAACCTTAGACTGGTAGCTTTGTATATGTACTAATTTCTCTATCTGTGCTGCTTGTCCACTTGCTGCCTGATAAGTCCAACTGCTTTTGAGTCTCGAACCTGGGTCCAAAACCTATTAATTCTATCTTTCCTTTAGGGAGCGGGGTTACAGGAGGAGGTGCATTGTTTTTATTCTACTTTGTCTTTTAAATCTGCATGCACCTAAATTTCACACACTTTGCACTATTTTCTTTCTTGGCAGTGATTTTTACATACTTAATTCGTTTTCGTCAGATCTGGGCATATTTTGACAAAATGCTGCCGATAATGATGTTGATTATTGTTGAATGATACAAGGTTTTATCGATTTTAAGAAAAATTTAAAATTACTGGTTCTGTTGGCGGAAAGCAAGCTACAAAAGTGTATGCATTATTAGTATAAGCAATAGCACATCTAGTAACATGGGATGAATCCTTTAGCTTATTACTGAACTAAACTTAATTGTACTTCACATTTGTTACAAACTATTAACTGGATGTTTAACTGATCTTAAGACTATCACTAAACCAATTTTATCTTAGGATCGTTTACACCTCGGTTTACACAAAATTGCCATGCGCGGCAAATACCTTTTTCTACATCCTTCTGTTAAATATCTAATTATACACCGATCTACCGCGCGGGAAGCGTAACTTTACCACGTGATATTACCGTACGGGGTTGTTAGCAGTCGGATATTTTCAGAGAATTTAGCGCACGGCATTAATTTTGACGTTTGTCAATTCTGATGATCATGTCCGTGAATGTCTTGTGTTACTCAGCAAAAATGTACCCAAAAACTAACAGTCGTTGAAAAAGTATAGTAAGCAACGCGTTCGGTAAACTTTTTAAGTCATTCGTTTATTAAACACTCGCTCCGATCGTGACTCAATGCCATTTTCCACACTTGTTGCGTAATATATTATTACTTAGATACTGGTTTGGTCTATTTGAGAACACTAAAGAGCTTTGACTTTTGTCTGTGAAATTTATATACAGAGTAACTGACGGTGGATTGTAGGTTAAACATTTAAGCACGGATATTATGTATTATTGAATTTGAATTGAATATATATTATAGAATTGATTTTTATTGAATATGGAAATATTTTTTACCATAGCCAAAATATATATATATATATATATATTTTTCTAATAAATAACAAATTGAGGTACTTAAATTTTCCGAATTTGGGAGAGCTTTTTTAAAAAGATTTATTAACACGGAAAGCGAAATAAAGTTTTATTTTTATTAGGGGCATTAAATATATAAAGCGAATACATAATGCTTTTAATGCGAAGTCAGCGAGGTGTTATATTCACTTAGCTATGCGCTTCGTGTGCTGGTCTGGGTATATACTACATAATAATTTCTAGATCACGTGTCGTCCAAAGCTTTACTGCCAACGCCTCGCTGTCCCTGATTTGTAAAAGTTGCAATAAAACAAGTTTAGAATTGATTATTTTGATTGTTTTGTGTGTGAGCAGATCATATTATCCAAGCTCCCACCATAGAATATTTAATAAAAACGATGTTTGTCATGTGGGACGTTTTGTGTTTAATTATATACATAAATGACTTCACTTGCAACCAATTAACATTTCATCTATCTCTATCTATAATTCTGAATAATCTAAGCTGCACATTTTTTAACCTTTCTTTTGCATTACATTGAAAATTTGTAATTGAAACACTTTCTTTGGTCCTTTAAGGTTCTCTCTGAACTGCTACGATACGATAATGTTCTGGATTTGCCTGACAAGTCAAACGCTGCTGCTTTATGCATATAATTCGAATTCACTCAAACAATTTTCCATTTTTATAGGAGTCATTGCTCGCATGGCCTCAATAATTTTGTTTATAAGATCGGTCTCATTTTGGCGTGTGCGGAGTGGATTTCTTTATTGTAGTCCCAGTAAAAAAAAGTAATGGTGCCTGGTCAGGTGATCTGGCCCGCTTCTTTCCTGTCTAGATATCTAGAAAATATCCTTTGAGAGTTTAATGGCTTTCGAAAAAAAATGGTCCAATAAAACCTAAACCCCAAGCTGAACATGTACTCCAAACCTGTCTTGGAAGTCTCCTTCTCTCATTAAAAACACATTGTTTCTAGCCCAGTAGCTTGAATTATTTCTGTTAACTGTCCGAAAAAAAAATTGAACTTTTAAAATTAGGAACGATGAACTGTTTTTCAATATACCAATTGCAAAAGTTCTTCTCCTACGAAAGTCACCTTCATATGTATTTCATATTTAAAGGATTTGAAACTATATTCTTTCAATTTTTTTCTTGAAATTTCGTGATTTATTCCAAAAGTATGACTGATTTTGCGTAAAGGCACTGTTTAGTCGACTGCTACACCAGCCAAAGTATTTATTTCGACCACTTCACTTACAATAGAATTGTCAATATTTTTGCTCCAATCAAGGAAAGTACTGCTCTCTTGGCTGAGGACCATCTAGGAACCGCTGCGTATGAATGCGTTTGGTTAACCTTAGTTTTTTCTGACCTCACTGTAAATAAGCAAGCAAAATATTACTCTAGATCAGTGGTCGCCAACCTCTTCAATGTGTTGAGCTACTTTTTTAATTTTAGAATGACCTTTACCTATGACAATTAGATTTTTTTGTGGAATTTTGCAGCTTCCCTGATTTTTGCAGCTTGTATTTTTAAAATTAAAATCGTTTTGAGCGCTACCAGAATTGCCTCCGCGAGCTACCGCTAGGTCGCGATCGACATGTTGGCGGCCTAGGCTCTAGATGCTAGATACCAATCAATTGCAATACAAATTAACTCTCAAATTTTTCCAATTATAGTTTCAGCGCTTCCTCAATTTAGTTTGACTGTTAAAATTAAATCGCAAATATCTCAATAAGGACCTTCTGGAGATACATAAACACATTTTATTATAAAAAATATTCTAAATTAAATACAGCATACTAAAAATGGAACTTTTTATTGGAGTTTTCATTGGGAGTTTTTGCGGTAAATTACTACAAACCATAGTTTTCAGTGTCTTCCGGTAAATGCGAAAGTGTTTTTGTTTTACTTTTATCAAAAATGACATATTGAAATTTTTACTTTGGATATGAAAGTTCTACATTTCAAATTTATTCAAGTTTTTATAGAGTTATCGCCTGCAACAATTTGTAGTCATTTTTCACGATCTGTACAGTATTTTTTGTTACTGCTAGTAACGGTCTACTACAGATTACATCAATGAGTGAAAACAAGTTGCAAAAAATTTGCTTTGCTTTGTTTTAGTTAGTTAGTGTATTGTTATCATAATCTCCCTTTTTCCACATTTTACCAATTTTTTTAATGGAATTATTGGCCCTGGATTTTTGGCCGATATGTCGTCCTCATTCGCCTATGTGCGGCGGTAACTATAAATACCGAGCCTACCTTCATGCCCGCACGATGTCACCCGATAACCGACAGTTATGTAAGAGTAGGCCATGGGGAGCCTGTTAACCCGCGAGCTCCGGTACCGCTGATTTATGTATCTCCCGGTGGCAACACGATGCTTTGATGATTAACGCGGGCGGCTGGCGCGGCATCATGTGCCTGACCCGACGCCGCGACGCCAGCAAACGAACCCCCTTCAAATTTGATGGTCGTTTCGGAACGCGCCATTGTTAGAGTTAAATTTATTGCAAATGATTATTCGCCAAAATATTAATATCGGTTTTCGCTAGCGAGTTCGAATCTGTGGTAAGTGCCGTCCGTTGCTGTTGTTCAGTTGAAATCAGCCAACCGCTTTCTTTACTATCAATCGTTTTTATTTGTTTTATAAAATATTTTACATGGTCTAAGTCGAAAGGTTCTTCCTTATGTTTGCAATGCAATAGATTCGTTCTGACTCGTACGACGTTTGCTAAACTAACGCATGACTCTCTGCTTTCAATGGTATGGTATTGGATAGCTTTGATAAGTTGGTTAGAGATCTGAAAAGCTTCTTAAGATTCTTGGAAATATTAGTAAACCTTAGTACAACTCTCCTATAGTAAGCGCAGGGAATTGCGGTGGAAAAGCAGATCAAGACCATCGATTAATGGCCAGTGCCATGAAACAAGCACTAAGCGTATTTGAACTCTGCGCTTACTATAGGAGAGTTGTACTAAGGTTTGCTAATATTTTATTTTTAATGCCAGTGCGCACAGATTGCAATACTATCTATTACGGGCACTGAATTAGCTCCACTGTCGTTGGAGATAAAACGGCATTGCGTCTATGTAGCCAAATTTCAGATTTGACCGTATCGCCCTATTATGTGTAACATTCTAGTCAGAAATTGCCGTTTTCAGCTAGTAAGCTTTACCTTACTACCAGCACAGCTAAACCTAACATACAGCTCGAGCACTTAATTCCCGCGTTCTTGCGTTTGTACTTGCAAGTAAGGGCAGTGGCCCATTCGCAATTCTTTTGGAATTCCTTAGAATTGTAATGGAATTCTTTAGAATTGTAATGGAATTCTTTAGAATTCTATTGGAATTCCTTGGCTCTGCGCAGGCTCGTGTTAAGAGAGCGAAGAAGAGGAAGAATGATTACTAAAATTGGTGTGATCTGAAATGGACTAAACGTCAGACAGTATTTATAATATGAGCAGTATTGAGAATACATATGCTTTAATTGATCTGAAAAAGATGTTGATAAATGATAATGCACAAAGGAGTGGGCTAACCGCTACACAAATAGGTAATACGAATTTATTAATGTTACAGTACAATTATAACGATTTTTTGATAAAGAAGAAACGTAATATATAAAAATGACATTTTATTGGTTTTTTTCATATAATTAACTAGCTAACTTCTGTTTGTTAATACAAAGTTGCTGTTGATTTTCTTACAAGTAAAATATTTTTGACACACAAGACAACGTTCGCTACAACGGATTAACGATCATAACATCGGAAAGACGAGAAATCACGTATGTATGCCGTTATAAAATATTTAACTATATTGTCGAATGCGATAAAATCTATACAAAATTCTCAAAAATTTATGGTTACTCCTTCTTTCTGTGCTTATCGTGTATATTTTAATACTTATTGTAGCTGATGTCCATATCCATTACCATCATTATCATTATTAGTCAACGCAAATTTAAAAAATTCACTACGTGACCTCCGTCGTCACGTGGAAATGCTCTGCTGTCCCGTTCTCTCCCGAAAGGCGGAGCTAAGGTACTGCGCGAATTCATTGGCGAAAATCGTTCCCATCACTAGAATGCTCGAGTTGTGTTTGGTTCTGCTGTGCAACCAGTATACTTATTGGTACAATAGTTTAATTTGGTCAATTGTTATTTCAGTTCATCTGTTTGTTGCAGACGATATCAGTTTCGATGTTGCTTCGGTATTCGCATCATCAGATATTCCTGTTTATCGGTAAGTGCTTTTAAAAAAAATTAAACTGTATCTGGTGTCTACTTTTATTAGTGTAGAAATCTGCACATTTTTTAGAAAATGTATAATTTTTTTAACGACTAAAAAAAAATAAAACAGAAAACTAATAGGGATCTATTAGCATGTGATTTCAAATATAAAGAGAGAAATTATAGTTTTATTTTTACTCATTTCTTAGAAAGGCGTTGATCTTTAATATAATTATAATAAGATAAGCTCAACTCAATCTTAATTGTGCGATAATTCTTAAAATAGATATTGGTAATTGCTTAGTGCAAAGCTTACGTAAAAAATCGTGTAGTGTAAACCGGCCGCAATGTTGAAGTTTTGTTTTAAACCATTCTAAGATGTCATTCTTTTGCCGTCTTAGAGTGATATATGATGGATGGACGACTTCCTTTAACTCCCTTCTAAATAGCGGATACGCGATTTTTGGTATACTTTTACCCTATCTTAGTATCTCCTTTTTTTAAATAAAAATAAGGTGCTTTTACAGTGTCAATGTGGCATTTGCTCAGGATTTTCCACTGCATTGTGTTTTTTTGTTGACTTTGCGAAAGCTAAAAGTCAAAGTCAAAAGTGATTGGAGCTCAGAAGACTTTTCAGGAAGTTAATTCAATTATTTTTGACAGACCCGAATTCAGTAACATAGTTTATGAATTTGACTGCGTCCTACGTGTTGCCTTGGTCCGCATAAAATCATACGGCTTTCTAGGATATGTGTTGAGAATACTTGGAGCTCTGTGCGGAATTTTTGCTTGTCAACAAATAGCGAAAACTATTACTATTTAACATAGCTAATGATAGTGTTAGCTACGGGTGGCCCTGGACTATTTGGATTTGCATTGCAACTTTGAGAGGGTAAAAGGTTTCGAGTACTTGGGAGCAACAATAACAGAAGCCAATGATACCCGAGAGGGTATAAGAATTCTCAGCGGAAATAGATGCATATCCGCGCTTGTCTAGCGCGGGCTCCTTCTCTAGGCCTTGCTCACCAAACCACTATCGAGACAATCGAAAGTTTAGCTATATAAGACCGATCGTGATATACGGATGCGAAACATGGGCAATGACAGGCTAGGGAACTTATAAACGTTATTTCGAGAGAAAAGTGATGAGAAAGATGTATAGTCCAATACTGGATGTTGTTGTACAAAGTTCTAGAATCAGAACAAACAGAAGCCTACGTTGGGTAGGGCATGTAATAAAACAACCAGATGACCTAGTCTGGCAAACGAATCCGCAAGACCTGAGATCCCTTCCAAGACCCCGGCTGAGATCTGGAGATAACATCGCCAACGTTTAAGGCCATGGGGTACGAGATGGGTAGCGACCTCCTCAGGGATCGAAACGGATGGAGTCAGCCAAAACCCACATCGTAACCAAACCAGATGCAACGAGCTACAACAGGAAGTCACTATCAAAGCCGCGGAGTCTAATCAGAGGCGAACCGACATAAAGTTCTATAATTATAGAGGGAGTCACAGTAGTTCCTTTGGTTCGCCATGATGGCAACTCTCCCAATCTACCAATCTCAGTATATCAGTTTTAATCGCGTGTGAGATTGGGGTACAAAAGATCTTTGAAGAAGTGCATAAAAAAAAAGATTAATTTGTTTTTGCGAGAGGAGTAAATCGCCAAGCGAAATCTGACTCGATCATTAAATCAAAACACTTACGTGCAACGTTTTTACGATGCGTTTTCAACCCATCATTTAGTAGGGTTTTAACCCACGGGATAACTAGGGTTTAGGGAATAAAATAGGCGATTCGTCGTATCCAATCCTGACCGGCAGTCAAGAGTGGGGTTGCTGCGGTTATTTGTTAAAAACCGCGGTCGGTCTTTACCCGGGAACCGAAACACACAAAAATCCCTTTTAGCGAGAAGCGAACGGAACATCCTCCGAAGTAACTTTGTTTAAAACGGGAAAGTAAAAGCGGAGAGCTAATAATGTGGGAGACAGAAATGTTTCCCAATGAGGTTAGTGCTTTGCGAATTTTCAGGGAATATTCTCAAAATTTAAAGAAGCTTCATTGAAATTATCAGGTCAAAATATTGATTAACATTATTTAAACCGTTTTTTTGCGGGATACGCTCCAATCCTGCGTTCGAAATTAAATTTTGAAAGAAACGAGAAAACCGCGAAAATATTTTTTTAAATTATAAAAGATGAGAGTGCCATAGGTCGTCTAGATTTGGAATTGTTGTGAGATTCACACATTCAATTTCGTACGGGGTGCGGAATAGGGTGAATATGGGTTGCCCCAAAGTTTTGTGTTTTTTTTAATTGAATCTCTGGTATGTTGTGAGTGAGTGAAAGTAAATATTTTTGAATTTGTATTCTTGCAGAAACAGTCGTGGCCCTCCTTATCGCACGTCTACGTAGCTCTTGAAAGCAGATCACGAGTTAGTGCAATTCTTGTTTAATTTGTACAGCTGTTCATGTTTTATTTTTTTCCTTCCATTTAGCTTTTTGGACAATTTCACAATGTAGATATTAATAATAACCCATTAACTGTTAAATTTTCTATACGTTTAACCTAAATATGCCAAATAATCCAATTTTATAGGAATAATAATACTGTCTATGCAGTTTACGTATGTCCCACTAAGGGCAACGAGGTACGGTATTATAGAAACGTAAAGTTCTAGCAATTTGAAAACAAAATTGAATAAATGAATCAAGAATAAATGGCGATCAGGGGCATAATTGTCAGCTTTAATTTTAAAAGTCTGTTTCTACAAAATATTTTCATATATTTCCATGGTTAAACTTAGTACTGTTTGAAAGCTGAGATAAGAGATAAATTCAAATGAGTTTTGTTTAATGCTCTTTGCAAGAAAAGTGGTGGGTGGAGTTCGAACCTTTGCTTAAATAAATGTCCATATCTCCAGAAAGACTTAACGCGTTTTAATAGACTTGGAGGAATAAAAAAGGCTTTTCCTAGACTATTACTCTTGATATGTGTGACGTGACTGCGATTACTTACGTTGCTACCATGTGGCGTTTTCTGGCATAATCGCAAAAAGTTTAATTTTCTGAAAAAAAAAAAAATGCAACGACTTAAATGTTTAAAATTCGGGAGAACGTTTTTAAAAACATTTCTTTATACAGAAAGCAAAATAAAGTTTTATTCGGACTAGCCGATACAAAGGCTAGCAATTATACAATGTGACAATCGAATAAAAGCCCGATGCGATGTCATCGAGGCGTTATCATCGCTTAGCTTTGGGCTTCGTCTGCAGTTTGGGGCATATAACTCCTTCCTCCTTAACGAAAATAACGGAGTGTTTTTTTCGAAAAAGCTTCAAAATTTTCTTCTTGGCAGGTTTACTCGTTGGATGCGAGTTTCTTCAATTCCAAGAAGAGCTTCTTAATGATGAAAACTAAAATTAGAACCATGATTATTCCAAAAACAATAACAATTATTTGGAACGTATTTGTTTCTTCTTTCACTGGTGCCATGGGAGTTATTTTTTCCGCTAAGTCTCTTAGCTGGTTTATTTCGTCAATATTTATTTGTGAAAGACTGGGGGTATCCAGGACTTTCATGGCGTTCAGTTCCCTCAATTGGATTTTTGATAAAAACATAGGTTTTCCGAACTGGATTTATATATCGTTAAAGAATTTTTCTTAATTAAATTCAACTTGACAGTTTACTGGTATCTTAATCAGTACTGGTACATCGATTTTCATATATCGGTCCGTGTTACACTTAATTAGCAGTTTTTCAGGCCTCTGTGGCAGAACAAGCACTAAATTTTAAGTAATTTGTTCTACAATTGCTTCTGACAGGTTGGGCAGCTTTCCATTCCGATGTCGTCAAATAAATTCTCCACGCATACATCTCTAGGGTGAGTTTCTTCTTTACAAAAGACATTGATTGATTTTTGATTATTGGGAAAATATGATAAAAGGAAAATATTTTGGATCTTAAAATTGGTACATGACTGCAAAGAGTCAACATTTCTCATCTTCACCTTCATTGGTTTTCTGAAAGAATAAATTTTTATTAGCCTTTGGCCTCTTTGCACTACTTTTATGCTTGTCTTTGGTGTTATTAATTTATTTTCCGTTTGGTTTATTAACGGTATCTTTTTAAATTTGGGAAGTTCTTTGCTTCTAAATTTTGTTTTAATGAAAGCATATCTTTGATCACTAAAATCTGCTGGTTCTTCGCGATTTTCGTTTCTTTTTGAAATAATGCCTTCTATCGTTTTTTCATTTAAATTCTTTATTTGTTCCTACAATTTACTTAAGTTTTCTTTATGCGATTGAACATAAGAAGGAATGATCGCGTTATCATTTAGATCATATGGGTTTTGTTGTCAAATATGGAGTCAGTTTTAATCGCGCTCATATCTATTGGATATTGTGATAAAGCGTCCGCTGCTTGGTTGTTTTTACCTTTTTTGTTTTTAATTTCGTACTCATACTCCTCAAGTTTAAGTCGCCATCTAACGAGTCGCGAATTTGGCTCTTTTAATGACATTAGCCACTGTAGTCTACTTATCTGAAATTAGTAGGTTTTGATATCCTTGCCCATTTTCAATGAATTTATTATAATCACGAATTATTTAATTAATAATTAGGTTTTGTCAAGTAACCAAAACTAATAAATTTTTGGAAACTAATTAGTTTTATTATTTATTGAATTATTTAAATTGTAATATATGTAATAAAATAAACATTATTATTCGCTTCTGACTATTCGATTTCTTCTAGGCACTGGATTAGGACGACTTTAAATAAGACTTTTTTAGTACAATAAACATTTAATACAACAGCAACAGCAACAAACAAGCAACAGATAACGATTTGTTTTGATTACAATCCTAATAATTACTAATGAAAAGTAAAAAGTGTTAATAATTAATTCCATTTGTAGGTTGCCACCAATTGATTAGTAAACGAGTTAGTAATGAAAACTAATTTTTAATGAAAAAATAAGTGGTAAAGAAATTGGCAAAAACCAGGACCGTGCAAAAGGAGGTTTATGACATTTGAAAAAATAAATTATTTTATTTTTAATTTTTAATAGCAATGAGTTTGTTCTCTATAAAAATGAGTTTGATTTTGTTATTTAGGGGCCATCACAAAGAATACAGTTAATTGATTGGTAAGGCTTTGACTTTTATGTAGTATGAATAACTGCCCCATTTCATAAACTCCCTTTTGCATGGCGCTTGTTTTGACCAAATTCGTTACAAATTATTCCATTGTGCATTGCACGGTATCAGTTATTTTTAAGTTCCAATTTTAAAATGAAACGGAATTTCATGAAATATCAAATACTTTCAGAGGTGTTGACCTAGTGATTTACTAAAATTTCATAAAAAACTTTACAGGACTCCCCATTTTTTACCAATTTTTCTACTAAGTACATTTGCACTCGGTATAGAGAGAAGGGTTTTAAAAAAAGAAATCCGACACAACTGTTGTATACACTAAGGTTTGTACCACTGCCTGAAAATCTAAAATCGGCAAGAAAATGAAGTTATAGCTAGTCAAAATTACTCAACTTCTTGAGTGTCCCACTACATCTGCTGTTCAGTTTAGTTTTTTCAACTCGATCCGTCATTTCAGTTGAAATTCCACCACCTCCAAAAGTTGTAAGCTACCCAAAAAGAACATAGGGTGTGTGCACTGCAAAAAAAAAATTATATTTAATATTTTATCATTGAATTGATTTAAAATGCTATAAGATCCCGTTAATCCTTCCCCGGTGCAAGATGTTCATTGCTAAATTAGATGATATAAGAAATAATGAGCGCTCTCGAACAGTCTCTGACAATTTTTTATTCCACATTGGCTCGAAGACTATTATTTACTTTTCTGAAAAATATTTCAGATAGAAACACAGTTCACCTTCGATATTGCCCAGAAACAGTTCGTTAAGCTTTTTTAATTGAAATAGATTTTAGCGTTTTATTATTGTTTCAGTTGACTTGCTTCAAATGCTGGAATTCAACGTGACGGTAAATTTTCCGGCGGCGCCCGTGCTCACTGTTATTTTGGCGTTAGTAGGTAAGTATGATCGACCTACTGTTTTGACTACAATTTGTCTATGGTACCGGGTGGTCCGTTTATTATTACACTGGCCCATATATTTCATATATAATGTCTATTTTCTCGGTGAAGGTCCCGAACCTTTCCGCAATATTAGCCCACTAAGTGATGGGTTTTAACAATGCGTATGCTAGCAAAGACTTTCGGCGTTACATTACTTGAATAATAAAAATAGGGAAAAAAAGAAATAGTTCTGAAGTACCTGCACCTGAATGTAATCCAAGTACATTCATTCAAAGAAAATATGCTGAAATGATTGTTTGGTATTCTGGTTACATATCCTGCAAATTAAATTGCTTGTAAGCGTTGTAAATTCCTCGCTGGATTGGCGTACGGAAAAGATCTTCTAAGCAATTATGAACTAACCTCGCGGCATTCAACAGCTAAGCAGATGGATCATCATTTGGATGCGGCATTTTTACGGCAATATTTTCGCCTGCAGCGCGTCAATTTTTACCATAGTAAGGCCACTCTATTATATAAAAGCTATATGGATATCGCTTTATCTGATTACAATAGGGATCAGAATTATTGAAAAGTCCAATCATTTGTTTAAAACAAATACGAAGTAGTCGGTGTTTGAAGTTCGCGAACGCACAGCGGGATTTTACGAATTCGAATGTTTAGGCTCGCATGTTTACGTGCAGATTACCATATTAATATTTATAGATTAGTTAGCATATCTTGTTTTATAATATTATCAAATAAAACGGGTTGAACAAGAAAATAAATTCTTCCTCGATTTGTGGTTTTAGCGTTGCCATATAATCTAATGGATGCCAATAAATGAATTCTAAAGTTTTGTGGAAAGATTATATATGGTATTACTATTTACAAATCTTCTGTATTCCTCCTGCGTTGGTTATTAATGAAACGAACTTGCTGGCGTTTCTCCAATCAATGATTCCCCTATGTTGGCGGTTAAGGTAGTTTCGAGATTTCTATGGATTACAAGATTTTTCTTTGGTAGAAGAATTTTAGTTTGGTCGAATAAGATTTGATGTCCCGTTTCATGATTGTGTTCGGCAACTGCTGGTGGTTTAATTTGTCTTAAGGCTCTTTCATGTTCTTTAAGCGTAGTTGCAGATTTTTAAGTTAGATAGACGATAAAAAAGATACTACGTTTTCTGCGAAACGTAACCTTAAATCTTCTTCTCTATTAGAGTCCGTGAATAAATCTGTCACACCTCACGACTATAAAATTCATCGTTTCTACGGACTCCCTTAAAATTCACAATCTAGGACCTTCCACCTATTTTTAGCCCCTTTATAACCATATATATATATATATATATATATATATATATATATATATATATATATATATATATATATATATATATATATATATATATATATATATATATATATATATATATATATATATATATATATATATATATATATATATATATATATATATATATATATATATATATATATATATATATATATATATATATATATATATATATATATATATATATATATATATATATATATATATATATATATATATATATATATATATATATATATATATATATATATATATATATATATATATATATCGTTATCGTTCTCCACGTATTGGATAAATGCAGAGCGTCGTCTCTTGTATTCAGGTGTCCGGACTTTTTTTATCTCGATAGCCTCTCGTATAATCCTAGTCCTAAAATCAGGAATATTAGGTATTTGTTTGCAAGTACCGAAATCAATTTTATGGCCTGTCTGATGTTGGTGCTGAAACAAAGCAGATGTGGTTTGTTTGTTTCTTATGGTTAAACGATGTTCCTCGAGCCTGGCTGAAATCCTTCTGTTGGTCTGTCCCACATACGTGAGGCTGCACGATCCGCATGCTACACTGTATACTCCTTGGTTTTCCAGAGTAACTTTTTGTTTTGGGTTTCTTAGTGTTGCTCCGATGGTATGATCAGGTTTGTATGCCGTTGATATATGGTGTTTCCGTAATATTCGGCCGATTTTTTCAGTAACCCCCTTGATGTATGGCAGGACAGCGATCGATCTTCGTTGGGTCTCGTCCTGCACTCTCTGCTGCGGCTGTTGTTGTTTACTGATTGCCTTGCTGATGATGCGCGTATCCGTTTTGTCGAAGACAGGTACTAATTTTCTTCAGTTCTTCATCTCTGTTCCTCTCGTTTGTGAGCCTGAAGGACCGAGCAATTAATGTATTTGCCACTGCCTGTATCTGTGATGGGTGATGGTGAGATTTAGCGTTCAGATATCTATTAGTGTGTGTTGGTTTTCTATAGGCAGTGTGTGCCAAGTGTCCATTTTCGGTCCTTGTGATTTGCACATCTAAAAAGGGCAGACTGTTATCCTCTTCAAGTTCTATTGTAAATTGAATCCTTGGGTGAATGGAATTCAGATGATCTAGGAATTTCAAAAGCTCCTCCTTGCCAAAAGGCCATACAACAAATACGTCATCTACGTATCTTGTCCATAGTTTTGGCTTCAGATTTGCCTTCTCTATTGCTTTCTTTTCGAAGTAAATCATGAAGAGGTTGGCAATCACAGGTGAGAGAGATGATCCCATTGCTGCTCCATCTACTTGTCGGTAAATTTTCCCGTTGTACATAAAGTAAGCGTTTTTCAGGCAATGTCTTTACAGATCCATTATGTACGGCGGAAGATCTTCGTTTTCTTCTATAAGCAAGAGTGCCTCTTCTACTGGAATGCTCGGGTAGAGGGATTTGACATCGAAACTTGCCATAATGTCGTCCTTGTCCATCCTGAGAGAACCTAAAATCTGAGTGAAATGTTCTGAGTTTTTAACATAGGAATCTGCTTTTCCAATATGGGCTGAAGTGCACTGGCCAGATATTTTTCCAGCTTGCATAATGGTGAGTTAAAGGCGCTTACGATATGGATCTTTGGGAGCCCGTAGAATTTTGGGCAACGACTCGATTTTTCCCACCATATGTGACATTTATGCAGAAATTACTAGACTATTCAAAGAAAATATTCACCTACAAAAATGTCATTGGCGTGTCATTGTTTAACTCCTGATGCGCAAAATGCACTTTCCAATTTTTAAATATTTTTTTCCACAACTACAACCCTGTATCTCAAAATTTAAGACGTTTAGGACATACATGATGATTTTTTTTTCTTCAAATGAGCTCAGTAATTACCCACTTCAGTATTCACATACCATTAATTGAGTTGTTGCGACAGTTGCGAGTGGCGTCTCAAGGTTATTGGCGCATTTCAACTTCCGGATCTGCAATGTATTAAGAAAGTAACGGACAAAATACCTTTTAAGTAAGGCGTCGATATTATCTAGCACAGATAAATTGGCTGGAAAAGAATGCCGAAAATATTTATACACGACGACGTCCGCATATTGCACCCGTTTAGGTGACATACGAACATTCACGTCGTCGCGTCGCCTGGCCGGCATCGTGACGCCGCAATAAAGCCGCCTAATTAACTGTCAGAGGTCGACCCGGTTGGAGTCCGTTTTCTTTTTATATATATATATATATATATATATATATATATATATATATATATATATATATATATATATATATATATATATATATATATATATATATATATATATATATATATATATATATATATATATATATATATATATATATATATATATATATATATATATATATATATATATATATATATATATATATATATATATATATATATATATATATATATATATATATACGTATACGGTCGTATAGATCGAAGCAAGTAACAGGAGGAGGCCCCAGAACGACGGCGAGCAAGAGGAACCCCCTATGGCGAGTCGAGCAACAAATATTCATTTACACCGACACAAGGAGCTCGGGGCGGCGAGAGGTGACGATGGCAACCAGTTGCTATCGCGACCCACATTGTGAAAGAACGTCGTGGTCCGATACTCCTGGAGTCAGTGGCGTACTTCCTTTGTTTCCTCCTTGTGCGTTTGACATTGTTCATAATGGATTTTGTTTAAAAATATTTTCCGTTTATGATCGTTCACGATCCAGTGACTTTACTTATTTATCCAAGTATTCAAACCATATAACTACTAGAGAAACAGGGGTCCTGCTTATCCTGTTAATATAGAAATTTAGGAAGGAAATATGATTTTTTTTAACGAGCGTCATTCAATATTCAATATGGGCATGTGTGAGATTTAAAATCTTTTTTTTATCGAATGCAATTGCAAATTCTGGCTTTTCACCAACATGTAACAACCAACACAGCCGCTGAAAGATGGTCAGAAAGATGTGGCAAAAAGGAGTTAAAGTGTGGATAGAGTCGATGGAAAAAAATAATTTCGCGAAAGAGCAAAATATTGAAACCAGATATTATATAACTTTGTGAGTGGATAACTACCTTTAAGTCTTTTAAATTAACTTATACTTGTACCTACAACTTGTAGCCAACACTTGTTGGTGTATAGGCACATTCTTTTTCTCACAGTTTTGACAATATAATACAAGTTTTCCAGTAGGTGGCCATTTTTGTGCCAACAACACTAAATAGGTACGAAGGTAATCACCAAACACCAAATATCAAAACAACAATGGCACAGACTGGTAGTATTCTGGGTCAATAGCAATAATGTGATTGATTTGACCATTCCGTTTTTACAAAAATAAATCAATTTTCCAGAAAAATTACAACAAAGTCGCAATTCAGTCATGCACGAAAGATTCCCAATTCTACGAAAATGTCGTACGCGCATCAATTTTTACCGCTAAGGCCACTATGCAATCTAATATGCTTCAAATATAACACAAGACAAACTCTAAATAGCCTAACCTCAGCTACAGTTTACATTTATAGGCTATGCGCTTTATCTGTTTTGAACTTTAGTCGCATTTTGAATTTTTGTCGGTTAATATTGAATTCTTTATTAAATTAATATTTGAGTATGGCCGCAAAAAGCAAAAAAAAAATGCCTGGTGCACAAAGTAGGA